TACATAAATGTGCCGTCGCATATAAATAAAAAAGTATGCGTGTCTCTCCCAACGTGTGCGAACATTCTTTTACATTCGTATCACGGGAACTCACCTGAGAAGAGAGACGCATCTTTCCAAATTTTTAGCTGTATCGTGTACTTAATATATAGAATCGATGACAAAGTACAATATAGTATCGATAAAATATTGCGAACTATAAAAACGGGACAGTAAAGATCATCGTCGTAAAAATTATCGTGCTACCGTAATTAATCGATCAATTATACAGAATAATAGCGGTAGAATATTACAATTACAACATTTATAATATTCACAAACTTTGCATCATTAACGTCTGCAGATTGGTAGATTGATTAAAAAGGGGGCGGAGGGATATAATGTAATTTAAACCAACGCTATAGATGTGTACATGCATTTATACATTTAATAAAATTGGAGAGAGACAGCTTTCTCCATCTTACTCTTAGAAAGCACAAAATTCCAGTAATGTGTGTGCTTGTAGACAAAATGCACATATAAACGCGCGCGCGCGTGCGTATGTGTATAGACTATATATGTATATAATATTGTATGTATACATATAATATACGGTATATACAGGCCGCACCCCATCAAGTTCAAAAAAATTTGATGAGATAATAAATTTGATGAGAGACAATAATGAAGGGTATCAATTGAAACGAGAGTAATTATGTTTGAATATAATATTAAAGATATAATGATTTTTAAATAATATCGATTAAAATTGATCGTTCACTAGTTCCAATCACCGTTTAGTTACGTTTATAATTATGCCACTGCTATACGTTTCTGAATGCGGAAACAGGACCTCGCGAATGGCTAACTCCTTAATCATTTATTATTTAAAAATTGTCATATACTTTACTAAACCATTCGTTCAAGCAGTCAAGTAATTACTCTCATCTGGATCTCTTTTACCATATATTAAATTTTTTTAATCTAACAGGGGACACATACTGTATATATATGCAGAGAATACGCATCGGGACACAATATATACTATTTCAAATATGTAATTACCCATAAAAGTGATCAAATATTTTAAAAACCTTATGATTTATATATATATATTTTATTTATATAATAAAGAGAGAGAAAGGAGAAGTAGTGATGGGTCTGAGTATTAATTCTCTTCTTCTAAATGTTTTCGAACAATTCTATTGTCAAAGACTCCGGTTGCCTTTGGATATCATTTGAAATTACAAATTCTAGAAAGTCTTGAATTTATGTGTCTAGAAAATCTTTTTTTTTAAGTTCGAGAATATATCTAAAATATTTTACAAATTTTTAAAAATAACAGTATATGTATAAAATAAAATGGATTGTGTACGTGAAACAATGTAAAGCGTTATGAAAGAGAAAGGATATACACATTTCAATATCTTCAAAATTTTTAAAACTCCCCGCACTTTAGGTATATTCAAGACTCTTTTAAAAACTATTTGGTTTTAATTTATTATAACCATAATTAGAATTATAATATTGAAAATTTGTGTTATATGTTCAAAATTCGATATACGTTGGTCCCATCACGAAGAAGAAAAGAGTATATTATAGAAAAAAGCTTTTTGCAGCTTGCTTGAGAAGGTACAAATAAAATACGTTCCTCTAAAATAATAGATTTCCAAACCTTTTCTTCAAATGTTCTTGGAATGCTTGGTCAATTTTTCGTGAGACACTGCATAGTTATTAATATATCAGACGTTGGAGGAACAACGTTAAAACCATAATTCTGGCTGCGGTTTACTTGACGCTACAAATGCTTTGGAGCGTTCTTCTTCTCCTTCTTTCTTCATTGAAAGAAAAGAGAAGAGGAATGCTTCGAAGCATTTGTAGCGTCAAGTGAACCGCTGCCTCTATCGTTTAACCGTACAGCGGTATTACAATCGTTTCTCGTTATCGCTTTACGCATTACAAATCGAAACGTTCTCTATTCTAACGCAAATCAGATACCATTCGCCTTTAAAACATACTCGGAAGTGCACGATCGGCTCGCTTTAAGAATGTTATGTCAAGGGAACTGATCTTATTCTACAGTCTAACAACCATCACTGTTACAATAAATTTTCCTTACGAATCTTTTAAAAACGGTACAATACTTCTTCCATCGTTTCATTCGATATAATTCAACATGTGATTCGCATTTACCTTTGAATAGCTAATGTTAAAACGTTAAAATGTTATCCCGTTATAATAACTACAGAGCAATAACATTGAAATTATTTACAACACAAAAAATAAATTAAAGAAGTAATGGGGTAGACGTCCGAAAATAAGAAGAAATTTATTAAGCAAAAATGTTATTAGATGCACACGTATTCTTCGATGATTTGATTATTATTTAATTATTCTACGTGCTCTTACGCGAATAGCTATACTTATTCAATTCAATTTTGCATTTTATTGAATAAATAATACTGAACGTTCTCCGAGATCATCTCTATACATATGTACCCGATATTTTTTCTTCCTTTTCTCTTTACAAGATAACCGTAAAAATATCAAAGCGTTAGTGATTGATTGAGTAAACAATGTATTAATATCCCTAGCAAGAGTTGCCGATGTTGGACCAAGCAATCGTTACAGGCCGCTAAAGTATATATATTTCTAGTGACTGTAAAATTAATTATTCTTAACACTTAAGCGCCCGTGGCAATATTACCAGTATTAGCGATAAGCGTTTTAACTAGCACCACATGATCAAAGTGTAAAATTATCGAGGGATATGTATCGTGAAATGAATCTATTTCTCGACCGAACGTAATTTAGTACCGTAAGCGAAATAGGCAAGATTTAAATTGCTTTCATTGTTGATTATTAAGTGGTAGTAATTCAATGTTGTCGCATATCACAAAATTGACAAGATAGAAAGAATCGCTCCTTGCCATTTATCTCGAATAATTATTTGTACTAAATAAATTTCATTTATACGGATCGATTGGTTAATGTCGTAAAATCGATATCGCATTTTGTACAAATCTGGCATTAGTGGCAGTGCAAGATCTGTGATGAACGGATTAACTGTTTTCGATCATTGCATTTTTTTCACCATTTGAATTTATTAATCACAAATGTATACTTGACGCAAGTGAAATTATTGCCAAATATGGACCGAATATACGCAAATATTGACGTCGTTCGATTACAGTCTATGTACTCTGTAAGATTTTCCAAAAATATGTGTTTCAGTCTGTGTCGTATAGAATTCTCGAGTTGATTCTGTGCGACGAAAATCACACGCGCAACGTTACAAATCACTCTGCTAAAGCCTGTTAAATTTGAAATTGTTAGTGATTGGTCGAATATTGGCAACTCTCTGTCGTCAAGATGTAATACACAAACATGTCAAATATACGGATAAATCGACAAACAAAACACCCCTCAACGAGACTCGGGGGAATTGTTATTCTTCTTTTCGGTCGTTATATTCTGCGAGACGCACGCTCTCTTCCTTCTTTCTTTCTTTCTCTTTCTCTTTCATGCAATTATTCTTTATTCGCATGAGATTTCAAAAAATATGTCATCATGTCGATCGGTAGCGGAAACACAATGGTAGAGTTCTTTTCCGCCGATATCGTATTCAGTGTCTAAAATTAAAAGAAGAGCGTGGAAATGAAACGGTACGAAGATAACGACGACAATGTCTAATCATTAACAATACGTTCGATCGATAGTAATAATATATTAACAAAGATAATCCTGCACATATGCACAAAAATTGACTAATAATAATATTTACCTGCAAATAACGGAGTTGCAAGGCAGCCGGTGAGTCGCCAATGACTTCCGATGCTTCCCGCAGAGCCCTGCTGGCCTTCTGTTCACCTTCCGCGGCGATCACCTGATGAAATAATTATGAGATCGGCGGATATTTAATGATATGAATAAAAGAATTTTTTGGTTTTCTACATTATATGTATGTTAACGTCTTACTTTAGCGCGTGCTTCACGTGCAGCTTCGGCTTCTGCCGCCATAGCCCGCTGCAATTGAACAGGTAGTCGTACATCTTTGCTATAAAATCATAAAAAAGTTGCAATTTAATATTGTTGTTATGTAAGTCTTTATCAACTTTATGATAATTACGTCTATTAAGCTATCACCAAATATTGGATCTGTTACAATAATTGGTTGATTAATATCAGACTTGTATTTAGCATTTTGAAGAACGTCAATATTATAAATTTTTACAATAGGATTTTTTATATAGGTTTAATTTAATCACAAAAATCTTATTAATCTTAATGTTTATACAAATCCCTTCCAAAGAGCGAAAGTTCTAATAATATACCCCTACTCAGTTTTAAATAAAACTCAGAAAAATTATTCCAGCACGTCATTAGCTATAATATATCTATTAAAGTATGTCAAGCATATTTTTAATGTTTATTTTTATGTAATTTTTTAAGATAATTTTAACTTTAAGTTTCTCAAAAGTGTGACACAAGAGAGCACTTTAGAGGCAATTATATTCAGTCATTAAAAGTAATTATTTTTTGTTGAACATAAAAAGTTACATTTTATTAAATACGTCATTACTGCTATTAAACAGGACAATTTTATATACTCACATTTCTACTCGTTCTACCTTTATTCCCCAAGTATCAGTGGCTTCGTCTAGAGAAACCTAATATAAACGCGATCATCAAAATGTCATTAATGCATATTAATTCACTTTTTCCACTTAGGTAACGTAGCAGAATTGTGCTTAAATATCTTATATACCTGCATATTTCCGGAGATCGTTTCCCGCTCGCTTAATATTTCATGAAGCGGTCGCGTCCCCATGGTATTTCTCAGGGTTGTTTGAGCTAGCAGCCTCGTACTATGATGCGCGTTCTCCACATTCGCAATCGAAATGGTCGCATTATTAACGCGGTAGTAAACTACCGCATCAACGGATACTGTAACGCTATCCTTCGTCAATACCTAGTGTATGAACAGATAAATAAATTTATATCCTACATCGACATTCTATATTTTTAATATAATTCTTAATTTCCATATAATATTTCCAGTTCTATAATTTTTTGTTTTTAATTTTAATTTTATTGTATATATATTTTTTTTCTACAATTTCCATATTTTATTAATATTAACAAATAAATAAAAAAATTTATATTTATTAGACAGGAATGTAGTTTTCAAGCAGTATTCAAGTAACAATCTTAATGGGCAATAATTGCGTCCAATTACCTCTTGCGGCGGTACGTCGTATGTCCGCGTTCGCAGATCAACGCGCGCGTAGTTGTCTATGCACGGCAGGATGAAAAAGATTCCTATAAGCGTGAACACGATTATGTCGCTTCGATAGTCGATAACAAATCGTGCGTAAAATGTTGAAGCGGTGACATAATATAAAAAAAGATGCGCCGTAAAAAAGGGTCGTAAATGTCAGCCGAATTATCTGGCCTTATATCTTCAAATTTTAGTCACGCAGCGAATACGAAAAATATCAAGTTTCCTTTTATAATATAATATAGCGTAATTGTAAATGCTGTATATATCTTAATAAGCAAGACAACTTTACTTTGAATGTACGACGAGAATCTCAAGCTGTTTTGAATGTTATTTGGAAGATTTATTATGAGAATCTATTCTTGAAAATCTTGAAAATTCTGAATACTTTGAAAATGTCTTAAAAGTTATTTCCTTATCACGTAAACGATAGGAAAATACTTCTTCTTTATTATTTTTCTTCTCATTATTTATTTTAAACGTAGATAATAATTTTATTTTAAAAAATCCTTCAAATATCTAAACATTTGTAAGAAAACACATTTTCCAGATATTATAAAATCTTTCAAGTATTTCCAAGCATGAAAAGCTCTAAAGAACTTTCAGTATCGAATAATATTTAAAACAATTCGAATCTTCGTATATGACTGAATTACTTGAAAATTTTCAAAGTTTAGACAAAGTTTAGGATCATTAGCTGTGCAGTAATAATTAAGCAGATTATATATTTTTCTAAAACAAATGAATTAATGTAATGGTGTTAATCTTACCGGGACCCTTAGCACCGCCCGATAGAAGACGCCCCAGTCGAAATATGACGGCTCTTTCATATTCTTGTACGACCTAAAAATTAAAAAAAAAAAAAAATGCATTTTGATCGTAACTTGCAATTTCACTAGAATTTTGTAAATTGAAGATAATATAATTACATTTAATAAATATCATTACATTTAATTAATTTAATGAATACAACCGTGTAATTTAATACAATTTAATAAAATACAATTTCGCTAATAATCAGATGAAACCAGTCAAATTGATAACTTCACTTTATAAAAATTAAGGTTGCAGAGTAATCGATGACTGGCACTGTGGTGCCGTAAATTAATGCTCATTTTTATCGCGGAATTAGTAGGAAAGATCGCTGATACGGGCTATTAATAAGATAGCTTAATGAAAGCATATGATATAGCTGCGCATTGATACATATCGCGCTCAATGAGCCGCTTTAATAAGATCGCTGTGAAAACGAGCACTGTGGACAAAGGCAGTATTATACACAAACTCCATGTAACTATAGTTACACTGGAACAACATTGCTCATTAAAACGCTCGTCGTCGCAACCGTCAACGAATAGCGAGAAATTTCGCAGACGAGAATAGCATTTCGAGGGATTTTTTTTTTAACTTTTCTCTTCCTCCGAAGAAGACTCTTACCTTAAAGCAAACGAAGAGGGAGAACGGCATCGTCAATATTACGATAATCCACGATAATACCACCAAGATGTTCCCGCATGCCGTCGAGTCTGACTGCGCGCTGTCATCTGCTACAATGCAATTTTTTGCAACGTTATTCGTTAAATAGTCGAAAAGATTCGAATACGCGATGTGAAATAAAAGATAAGTGCAGTCTCGAAATTAATTGAAGAGTTTATTTTCAAACCGTATTAAATCTCAAGTAAATAAAAAATGTACCAATATGTAATATTATTCGCGTGAATTTATGTATATTTTCTTCGCTTAGGGCCATATTACAGTCGGTCTTTCTTATTTACTTGATTTATCATAAACGGCCATGACTCACTTAATATTAAATTAATATTAAATCTATTTGGATGTGTTCCAAAAAGATCCACTTCCCGATTTTATGAAAAAGTTAGTAAAGTCTCAAATGTTGTTCCCAAATAAATACCTTTAAAATGATTCTTGGCACAAATAAGATTTAGTACACACATAAAATGTATGCGTGTACATATACATGTGATACAAAACCGACTAATACGTCAGTCAAAGAGTGAAAGGTTGAAGTGTTTTAAAGAAAAATGCAGTAATATTGAAAATATAATGATGAAATGAACAAATTTCTACGCACTTATTTTATTATTGTGCCAATAAAGGGAACGTGTAAACACATGAAGGAGCAGAATTCCTTCCTACGCACTTCATCCTACAGAAAAACTTAACTTAACACAATTTGATCTAATTTAGCCTAAAATTAGACTAGTTTGTGACGACATGTTCCATCAACCTGAAGCAATTTTCGCTTGAGTTGAAATCACATTAGAGACGTCAACTATAACATTTAAGGTCAGGATCGTCCTATATCCGCGATTTGCGAACTCTTGCAAATAACTTAACGCCATTATTTTAATGTTATTCCGATTAATTTTTACTTTTACCAAAAACTCTTTTTAATATATTTATTTAAAAACATATACTTTTATACTTTCGAGTTTCATGAGAATTGAAAGTTGGTCCTTTTCGAAACTACAGCTCTATATTTTAAACAATAGATTTATTGTATAGGGATTTATGAAGAGGAAATTATATTGAGGTGACCTTAGCGACCTAATTTCTAATTACAGCACTCGTCAATAGTCGGGCGAAAGTTGGGCGTGTATCCTAAAAAGTTGCCATCGGATAACGACAACGTCAACACAATTACGTCGTTGTCGCTTGTCATAATTGTCCGTGACGGCTGTTATCTAGTTTTTGGAGTGTACGTCTGATAACGTCCAGTGAATATTTCCGATTCTGACCTAACTTCCATTCTTGTCAAATAATTCAGACAACAACTTGCAGTTTGCTTCTCGTCTTTTACTATCTCAGGTTCGCAATTGATGACATTAAGGATAAGAACCTGCCAGTTATATTATTGGCAAAATAAAGCAATCAAAATATTTGTCTCAATCAGTTTTTTAATTGAGTCCTAAATTAAAACTTAAAACGGAAATTTAAAACAAGATTTAATTTTTTAAATAGAATTTATTTAAAACTGAAAGAAGATTAAAATTGAACAGTAGCTTTATTTTTGGGGAAAAAAAGGATAAATAACAAATTAAATAAGGTTGATTCGTTCGCTGCAAGTAAAGCTATAAACTAAATCCTATAGGCCAACGACGAACATAAAATGTACTTCAATGTTAAATACTAATTTGTCATAATTATCCGTGACGGCTGTTATCTAGTTTTTGGAGTGTACGTCTGATAACGTCCAGTGAATATTTCCGATTCTGGTTTGTTTAATAAGAATTTGTTTAATAAGAAAGAAGAAAACTTAAACATTATACATAACCGAATATTTTGACTTTAGTAAGGCTTCATCAGCGGTGAATTACTTAAATATGAACATTGAATTATGTTAAGTGATATGTCAAGAATTGATATCGGAACTTAGAGTAAAAATAATCAATGCATAATCACAAAATGTAATAGAGTTTTTATTCTAAGTTCTGATATCAATCCTTGACATATCACTTAACATAATTCAATGTTCATTATCAAATATTTAAGTTATTCAGCGCTGGATGACGACTTAGTAAAGTCAAAACTTCTTTCTTAAATAAATTAGCATTTAACACCTAAGTTCATTTTATGCTCGTCCTTGGTCTACGATTTAGTTTATAAATAGCAAAGATCTGCAATATTCATCAGCAATGTAACATTTCACGGAACGATTTCAATAACTTCGATGACGTGATTTAACATTTAATTCTAATTATATTCTTGTAGCGAGAAATCGCAAATCTAGTTTCCATTTTTCTAATTATTACTAAAAATAAATACACGATAAAAAAATTATGAAATTATTGTGTAAAAAACTAACACTAATTAATTTTAATTTCATTGTTTACATCCTATTACATTATTTGCCAATAATTATTTTTGTATAACTCGATTCAATGTAGCATTCAATCTTATCATTATTTTCAGCCTTCAAAATACTTTCAAAAATAATTTTTATATCATATACTCTTCCCTTTTGCAATGTGTGTTCTCTGGAAATCTATAAGTACAGTTCTCAGAAAATTATCGCATTATCTGTGATTCATTTGCATATAGAATTCTGTCGTCTTTGAATAATATTAATGTTGACTGTTGCACAAGAATGCGAAATTACTTTGTGCGACAAAGTACGACCTATATAGGTATATGCTTCATCCTCATCGTTCCTGTTGTCATAGGAATAAAAAATACATTATATTCATTTACCCAACTAATCAATATTGATTAATCTTGTAGACAATATTTATTTATCCGACACTGATCTCATAGGGTATGATAAAATTCTCTACGATATTATCACAGGATAATTAACCAGCCTCGTTAAGCATTCCGGACATGAAGCACAACGCGATTGTAACACGTAAATAACGTGTTATCGTAAACATACACATAGTCTCTATTAGAAGTGGTATCGAAAAGCGCAATTTTTTCGCATTATTTTCATTATATTATAGTGAATAAATCTAGAAGCGTAGAACTCTCGCACACGCGCAAGTGCACGTAATTCTCGAGGCACAATTGCACAACAGCATGATAACAGTACTCGTACATACACGATGATTGATTATTTCCGATCGCAGGAGTTAACGTGCGATCATCTTTTCGAAGCTAGACACTCGCGTGCAGATTTTTAATATCGGCAAAATAATTTTGCAATTATTTCTCTCTTCACTGAATTTACACGAGCGACAATGGATAAGCTGTAAAAATATTTTTACAAAACGCTCTTGTGTGTGCGCACACACACACACGTGCATGCGTAATGTATATAAGTATATACAATTGTCATTGATTCTATACTAATGCCTTCGGCTGCTCTACAAACCGATCAATATGCATACGTCATAGAGAACACACGTGCACACAACCTACATTCGAAAAATTATTCTAATTCTACGATACTGTGTTTCAGGGAAACGCCCAATGAAATTTCGGAAGAAACCCCCGATCGATTTTTATTTAGCGCTTGATACTCGTCCAAGCGAAATATTCACCGCCGGGACATAAAACGCCAACGTAATCTCGGCGAATTTCGATATCCCACAGTATCGAAATTGCAAGCGCACGAAAGTGCGATCATAATCTTTCGAGAAGTGTGATTTGGCTTTCGAAAGATTGTCGTGCAGGCGTGCAACTTAAGATAATAATTTTATTTTTGTTGAGTTTGCGCAATATAAGACTTATTGTAACCTTTGTAGCTCAACTTCTTGCACTTTTCCTTTATTTTTTTCCTGTAACGTTTAATTATATATACTTATTTCAGTTTAAAAGTACAAGGAAGTTTAACGTAGTTAAACAGCTACAAAGGATAGACTTGCAGTGTCTAACAAGCGTAGAATAAAATGAACATTTCGACAAATCAATTATCTCTGAGTTGCATGTACAATATTCGTAAACAGACATAATCTCAATCTGGCTCCCAAAACGCATCAGAGAAACGTGACAATTTACAGATAAAACGGTAATAATAGTAATAGCAGTTTTTGTTTCATCCTGAGGAAATATAAATATAAATGCTTGCGCACATTTTTCTTTTTCTTTTAATTTACGCTAATTTTTTGACAGTTTTTTTCTCTATTCTCTATTTCGTTCTTATTATGTCATCTTATTTTAATATTATGCCATTTTATATATAAATATAGTAAAAATATATTTTATACATGAAATATATATTTATATGTAAGGTAAAAAATATAGAATTTAGATAACAGATAATATTCATCAAAATAAATAATAAATATTTATCCAGCGTAAGTTGAAAAAAATAATTGACATGAATTAACCAAAGGAAAAGAAGCATGACAATAGATGTAAGAAAGAGTATGTATTAAGAAAAATACTTAACATTAGCCAATATAGCCGTATTGTAACAGAAAAGAATTGTAATAATACAACGTACGAAGGGAAAATGGAGACAAAGCGCAATGAGAATGATTAATAATTCGGTCTTCACTGTTCAGCGTTTATAGCAAGTACATTAAGCGTCTCCGTGTCACCGGTCTGCGTTAAATCGACAGAATTTTGTCAATCCTCATTTCCAGTCGCTCACCTCGCTCACCTTCCGTCATCTCGGATACAATCGGCAGCGTCCTGCACTATCCACTCCACCGGACCGTTGATGCCAGCGGCTCGGGAAGATGGTAGATATTTCGCGTTTCACAGGAACGAAGTAGAGGTGGAGAATCGAACAGACTGGATTAGGAGCGCGTTATTCACCTCTCACACGGTTTACCGCGACTAGATATTGCTGCCAGGGTAAAATCTCTCTCTCTCTCTCTCTCTCTCTCTCTCTCTTTCTCCTTCTGTCCGCGTTTCCCTTTCCTCTCGCACAACCAGCTCACCCTCGCTCTTTCCCTTTCGGCCCAGTAGCCACCCTTTCGTCTGTCCCTTTCCCTCGTCCTCGTCGAGGCAGCATGCGCGAGATGCGCGCTCGCGGCCACCCTACCTTCGCCGGCTCTGCCGCCCATCCTTCACCCTCTCCGCCACTCTTTCATCCCTCGCTCTCTATCTCTACGTCTGTCCCTCTTGTCCGCAAAACTCTTCCTTCCTTCGGTTAATCATTCTCTCTCTCTCTCTCTCTCTCTCTCTCTCTCTCTCTCTCTCTCTTAGTCTTCCCCCCTTTTAGTTTTCCCTCCGTTCGACCACCCACGTGCTCGTTGTTCACGAGGGTGAGACAATGCTCGGGTAATAACACGCGCCCATCCCAGGGAAACGAACGAACTGGTTTATATTTTCGATTTTTCTTTCGACACGAGTAGATGCGCGCTGAAACTTCAGCAAAGCATGAGTCATAGTCTTCTTCCCCAAAAAATGGGGCAGCATTTTATTTCACAATTCGCGCTACAAAATAGAAAGATGATTTCGAAGAAATACCTGATAACTCAGACCTCCCGATAACATGAGGGTAATTCCAAAAAAAAGTTCTGTAAATATTGAGAATTATGAGTTACTTAGATACTCTAATTTTATATTTCCTTTGTTTTATTTAAGTTAACACAATATAAAAGGAAAATTCTTTTTCTGCCTTTAGTCTTCAGTATCTGACTTGCGGGTACAGTGTCATATCATGACTTGTTGAATGTAATTCGTAAGAGCTTTATTCACCTGAAGAGGGTCCGAATTTCGACCAAAACGTCGTTTTATCTATTAATAAATTGGCCAGTTATGGTCAAGAAAGTTTGTTCATTTTGATATTTTATATTCACTGGATATTTTATATTCAAGAAAATTGAGATCATTATCATTATTGAAAATTATAATAAGCAAATGTCGCTTGTTCTTAAATTACCGACAGACTTCTGTTCTGCGATAAAAAAATATCATATTTGTATATTCAAAACGAGGTATAAAAATGGCAGTAAGAGCCAAGCGCAGTAAGTAGAACGCGTATATTTTTTATTAAAAATAATTCTTGTGAAAACTTTTGTAGATATAAGATAAGTATCGTCAATAGTATATAGATAGCGCAGTTCTTTCAGTCGTCTTTTTTTTGCATCTCTTCAACGCAATTATAATATAATATTAAACAGTGATAAAATCGTAACGTAGTTAAAAGTGTAAAAAAAAACAAATTAAAAAATTAATCGTTAGTATAAAATTTAATCGGAGATCTCTTACGTCATCCTATAAAAAGTAAAGAATTCAGTATAGTTTCCGATGTTTCATATTTTTATCATATCTAATAATGTCCATATAAAAAAAATTAAAGGTAAAACATGCTTTGGGACTTCTCGCATTCATTTTCATTGCAAAGAGCATAAGCAAAGATAACTGTTCGTATCACCAGAGATATCAGAGTCATAAGGTAATATTTTTTATTTAAGATATTTTCGGATTCTCTGCGAGAATTTATAATTCGCAGGAAACGCGCTAATTTTACCGCAGTCTTTATGTACTTGTTTATATCGTATAAAATGTTCGTGCGTGCTAGATCAGCTAGATCATCGTCGAAATGGTCATTTACACGTGCTCGACTGTTATCATCGCCCGATCAAATTGTGAAAGTCGAAACAACAAAAGCTTATCGAGAATCTATCGGGGACTACTCGACGGCGGCGGCGACAGTGTTATACATCGTTTCCCGGGGAAAACAAGGCGACATTGTTCGTCGCCAGCCCCTAGGGTAATTTCTGTCTCCGTTCTGGATATTTCATTCGACTTATTTTCCCGAGTATAAGCATCAGCCGCGTGCGACCAGCCGGTCGACGCGAGCTTATAGCGAGTCTATAGAAAGCGCTGTGTAATACAAGGTGAATGCTAATGCGTTCCAAGTTCACGTATTCTTGTAAAGGGTGTACCAGATCCAGTACTTCTTTCGATTAATTTAGACTTCGATTTTTCCTCGATGAAAATGCCGAGGGAAATCGTCGTCGGTCATTCCAGTAATTTTGACGAGCGACGCGAGGATAACTTTCAAAATCATTTTAAGCGTGTTGTATAAATTTCTAAACGACGGTATAAAAACCAAACATCACAATAATTAACTTAATATTAATATTATTATTAATTCTTATATGCCAATATATTACATACGAATAACAAAAATCACAAAGATCACATTAAATTAGATTAAATTACGTACAAAAGTTAAACTAAAATTCTTAATTTTGTATTTGTAGCATTACTAATGAGACATATTTTTATCTTAATATTTATTTATTAATATATCTTTAGTAGTGTTCATAATTTAAAAACTGAAAACTATCGTAATCTAAGATTTTTTTCCGTCGTTCTTTTACCTCAAAATTCAACTAATTAATTAATTAATTACAAGCAATTATTAAATCACGCTTGCCAATATTATTGGAATTTTGTCTATCTCATCTGTCAAGTTATTAATTACTGTATATTAATATTAAAAGTACATCAAACATTCTAAAATGATAAATATGCATGGGTAAAAATCATTTAAAATTGATTGAAGAGTATGTCGATCTGTCATCGGTTTTCAAAATTAAAACTTATTCAATAGCTCTTTTTCACTTTTTTATCAGTAAACATATCAGAAATTATAATTTCTGATATGTACAAGCGTCCTGTTATTTCCGCAAAAGAGAAATTAATATAAAGAAATACAATCGACCAAAAAATTCAAGCTAAAAAACAGATCTGGACAACAAAACTGCTCGTTTCGAGATGTTAACGACACGGAAAGAACGGGCGGCCAAGATCAGCCGTATGAAACGAAGCGAGTTGCCCCCGTAGCCGATTGTTCCACTTACTATGTTTGACGCGCGATTATTACTGATCACTGACAGCCGTGAGACGGTAAAATTGGAACGCTTTATCGTGAGCCGCAAATTATTAGGTGACACAGGTATGAGAATACTTGGCTCGAAATGATTTGACAAGAAATAGAAAAGTACAAAAACGATAGCGTGCCGCTTCTTTTCACAGGCATCTTTGCGAAGCGATAATACGCTCTACTTCCAACAGCCTGAATTTCACGAGAGCATGTAGCTACTATTTTCGTCGGTAGTCTATAATTACAGCCTGATGGATGTAAACGCGCGATTTCGCATTTATTCCGCGAATTTCAACCCGATAATAAAGGGAAATTTAGCTACCCTCCTATCGATGTCTTGTTAAAAGTTTGCCATGTCATATATATGTATATATTTTTTTTTTACTGATATAAGCAACTTGAAGATATATATATTTGACTGAAACAGTAGGGAATAAGAGATATATATTATTTGCTGAAATTTAAGAAATGTATACATATATTTCTTAAATTTTACATTTTGTAGATAATCAGTTCCAAGCCCCCCCCCCCAACAGTTTTTTTTTATAAGATAAAATCAAACGATAAAATTATCGACGGACTATCGTACAATGTTGAAGTTCGGCCACATATCAAGAATGACCTTCTTTACACTCGTGAAATAATTCATTTGTCGAGCCTAAGGTTGAACAACGATGTTATAACCCTTCGTCTGACTTCCGCCACGTACACGCTCGGAATAATCATTAGTATTAATGGTTACATTCGTGAAACGAAAATGACGCACGTATTAATGTTCATCGGTTACATTTTTCAAAATAATTTCAAGATAAGACAAAAGAAATGGATAAATAACGACAAATAAATAAGAACAAAATAAGAAGTAAAACAAACTAAATAAAAAAAAACACAATTTCTTTATATGTGAAAAATAGACTAAAATTAGGAAAAATAGAATAAAATAAAAGCAAAGAAAAAAAGATTATAAAAACTGTACGTGCGTCACACATTATTCTTTCTTTCCCGCTTTGTAATCGAAATTAGGATATGACGTACAAGTTCCATCGTGCAAATTTCTCTGTTATACAATATTTTAGTTTTGTTGTAAAGAACTCACATCCAATGATCCGTTTGCGGATGTCGTCGGGCCGGGTGTTAATCTGCATCGTTGATCCATTGCTGTTGCTCATGGTCGCCATAGGTATATCGGTGGGATTGACGCGCGATTCGAACCTCGCCACCTGGATAAACAAAGACCAGTAAGTAAATAATAGAATTCAATTAGCTTCTTCATTATACTTCGATATACTTCGTATCATCATCAATATACTATATATATATAACGCATTTCATTATTAATACATTGCAATGCATATAAAATGCGACGCGCTTGAACACTTGTTTGATTTTATATCAGTCTTCATCTCTTTTACATTATATACTTAGAATTAATAATTGTTAAAAAAATATCGTTTAAGAAAGTTCTCTTCTGAAATCTTAGTCCTATATATCAAAAAAGATTTGCAAAGGCACCGTAGAAATTACATCGCAAGATTGCAATACATGTCAACTTGGTACAAACGTAGATTGCAGAATTGTTAAAATGTCTGCCTTAAAAGGATCACAATTAACATCGTGACATTGTAATTTGTCTTATATAAGTAATATTGTTGTTGCAAATGAGCAATAATATTGCATAACAGAGAGATCCATTGTAATCCGAAGAGAACGATATAGCTTTAATTGATCGTAACATTATATAATATTATCTTGTATGTAGACACAAAATGTCTATTATCTATAAAACAAATCTAGAATTTTCATGAAATTTTAAAGATTTGATAAAACTCTCATGAAATTTTATCATATCTTTCTTGAAACTATCTCTTTGAAGATCTTATTGTCATGTCACAAATATCAAGTGCTGAAATTTTAATATCAAAGTGCTGTATAATCTGTTTAACATTTTTTTCGATTTTTCGATAAGCTTCGTTTTCTTTTAAACCTATCTTTATAATACATAATGTTAATACTACCCTTGTATTCATATAACAAAGAATTATTAATCCTATTATATTCGTTGGAGATAAAAAGACCAAAGTTTTACGCAAAAATTCTGTGTTCTTCTCTTACTGTGTTTTTCTCTTACTATATGTGAATTTAAAAAATAATAATAATAATAAAAAACCAACATAGCGTAATTTACTTTAAATTTGCCTTGAAAAATGTTCTAATTTTGTTTAAAAATTTAAATGATAAAATTAACTTGATAAATGAGAGAACTCTCTGAGGAAATTTTTGCCAAGATTCGAATAAGCGTTTCTGACTAATCAAATACACTTTTCGTTAGATAATAATTGCTATCTTCCTTTATAGTCATCACATATTGTATCGTATGACGCAAATACGTCGTACGCGGTATGACGCGAAACTTGATCGTCTTCTACACATCCGCCTGTAATATTATATTACAATTAATTATAGCTTATATGTCACATATTAAGTTCGCTATTATTTTTGGAAAAATACGCACGGAGAAGAACGACAGAATTTTTTTTTCCTAAAACGATTCGTTAAATGTCACCGCTGTATTTACAATATTATTGCATTATCGTAAATATATCCACGTCTAAATATTAAACTTCGCAATTATTTTAATTATTTTATAGAAAACATGCACAGAGAGAGAGCGATAGAGAATTCTTTTTCCAAATCGATCCGTTAAACGTCACCATGTCACCACATTATTGCTTCGTCGCAAACAAATTACGTCCAAAGGTGGCAACGTCAATATAAACCGCGATCCTTCGGAAGATGAACATTTCAACCACATTCGCTGCGTCCCGTTTCGACAATAATGCAGCGGCTGCGGCGCACCATACGCAACAATATATTTGCAATCTTACGACGAAATACCTCCACGGCCGTCCCGCGTCGTGCGTTAATTTTTAACTGTCGCTTATCGCGTAAATATATATTTTTATATTTTTTTTTTATCGGCGTTCCCGAGATATTTGCTACAATATTGCCGCGACCTGGTTACTTTGCGATCCCGTATGTCAACCCGCTCGAGCGAAGATCACTCCGATCACCTCCGATGCCGCGCGCACCACCTCCACCACCACCACCACCACCAACGCAACGTTTCAACGTGAGCGAGATAAACGCGCGGAAACCGAGTGATTGATGCACATCCGCGATACCGCGCTCGCACCTCCGCTCCCTAGTCCCTAATCGGTGCCATGTGACGCGGTGATTAAATCACGTCTTCGATTCTCGGAGCACGCACGCGAGCCGTCCGGCCTGAGCCTCTCCTCCGTCCAGCTTATTTCGCCGGGATCGCACAGACGCGCAAATTCGCGATGCCGAGAGGTCGTTCCACTCTCTCTCTCTCTCGCCCGTCCTTATCCGCCTCTGGCGGAGCATCCCTCTCGCCGGCAGGCGAAAAGGATCAAATTCTGTATTTTTCTTTTTTTTTTTTTCACTTGTCACGGGCGACAGGGAATAATTCAACGGGAACAACGAGCTTGGATTCGCGAGGGGAGCGCGATTTTTGTTTTGTTTTCTTTTTCCATCACCTTGCTTCACTGTGCCGACGACGAGTAACTTGTTGACGGGGGGTGTAGAATAGGCAGGACGGGAGTGAAGTCGTCGTCACGGCGTCGCGACGCTTTATAGAACGGTCCGGGCGCCGCCCCGACGAGTGGGTAGTGCACGCGACTTTGGTGCGCCTCGCGGGTACGAACCGTAGCCGTCCGTATAGTCTGGTATAGTCACCCACACCCCCACACCCGTCGCCCGCGTCGCTCGTTTCGCACGTCCCGCGAGCTCTATTTATTGCGACAACATTACCGCGAAATTCGTCCGCAGATCGGAACGAGAATATTTCATCACGCTGGGCGTTCTTCCCTTTGATTTCAAAATTACTACAATTTATCCGGATATATTTTACGATTACTTTTGTAATTGAGGAATTCATTTTTTTTTTTATTATTATTAGGGATTTTATTCATACGATATTGCTAAAATGTCTTTTTTTATGCAAAGTATTGCTGATATTGTATTCTTCGTTGCGAAATTTACTCACTGCAGATCGAGACGAGAATATTTCACTCCGCCGTGCATTCTTCCCTTTGGTTTTAAAATTATTACAATTTACAATTACATCAATATCTAGCAACTTCTAAGGAATGCAATATGAGTTGGCAAACGCACACATTCATGCAATACGATAAGATGTGATAGCTAACTGACAGAAACGCTAAAAATAATTTTGTTATCATTAATGAATAGCAGCAGATTATTCGCTTAAGTAAATATAACATAACTTTTTATATAATTTGTGAAAAAATATATAAAATATGCACATGTATAAATCCAATTTTTCAGTTTTTCAACGTAAAGTCAATTTAAAGACGCGATTTATATTTCTTTTATTGAACAGATAAATTTATTCTATTTCGACCGTATTTATATGTATTAGATCTAATGTCGAAAAAATCGTACTATAAGGTAAAACACGTACGTATTTTGTGCACGACTCATTGCCGTGAATAATGCATGTGGGAAGGAAACCATTTGCAGAGGAACTTACCTCCTTATACATATATCTGATAAAGGCAAGTCAAGGATATAGGCGGAAAGTACGAGGTCAATAACCAATGCAAATTAAATCGACAAAACGGTATTAGTTATAATCTATCAATTTTCATATTTTTATACTTGCAAAGTGTAATGGACAAGTACTACACATTCGTTACGGTAGCATCCGTTAGTATACGTATATGATGTATCAAACGCAACCACAAACAACGCATTTACGTATTCGTTTGTATATGAAAGAGTTTACTTTCAGAATTTGAGTATCTTTATTAATAGAATATCGCATATGTATAACAATTATGTTGCGTGTAACATCCGAGAAATATCGTTCATTGCGCTCTCTCTCTCTCTCTGCTCTGTAAGAGCCAATCTTGTCGTAAGATAAAATCACGAATGTTTCCCTTATGTGAGTGCAATGAAATACAGCAATATCATTAAAATGGCATACTCGAAAAAAATAGCGAATTATAAGTCCGCTATTCATAAATAGCGATTATCTCGACGGCAGCTTTGTATAACGATACTTCTCCGTATCCTATACGTAGAAGTAAAATATAAAAATGCATTGAGCCTGGCCTTTCCTACCTTACAGAGAAAAAAAATAGTCGATATCGACCTTCCTTCGGGAGTTATTTCGTACTGTTACTTAACGGTGTCATAATATCTGATCTATGAGGCTACACACGTAACTAGGCAAACCGTCACGATGCATAACATGACGAGTAATGATTCTGCATGGGATACGCTTCCATCGCAAGTTTCAGATACTTTACCTCTTACAACTTGGCATAACTGTCAACTGTTCGTGAATATCTTTTGGATGATAAATCCAGGTCGCTTCTCTTGCTGGTTATACTGACGTAAAAACTGACTTTGTCTTTATCGTTGGTTACGATATTCGCTGCATACGATCTAACGACTAAAATATTTAAAAGGCGAGACCAGCTTCCGAGTAAGTAGTAAATATCTTCTCAATCGAATTGGCATATGCGGCTGTCCTCAAGTCAAGTCCGAGATTGAATTTCATGGCAGTTTTCATAATAGCCTATTAAAAAAGAAAATATATACGTTGCATTTCGCTTTGTCTAATTTATATTGATTAGTCTAATTAATTGTGGCGATCGTGGCGCAAAGTGGATGTGCACTGCTTTAGTGAGTCGAAAATTCAGGTTAAAATCTGACCAAAAATTCGTCGGTTTTTATTCTATCGCCACGATCGTCACCTCTCGGATGGTGATGGCAAACCACCGAGAGCCTCTCTGTATCTGGAGAGGGAACCAACCCTCAAGGTTGGCGGTTGGGCAGTAGGCTGACAACCTACTCCCAGATAAAACGAAATCTTGCCTCAAAAACCTCAAAAAATCTAAAGAGGCCCGGGAATTTGGACTGTAAGTCATTGACTGATTGATTAAGTCTAATTAATTACCTTAGCGGATCTCTCCATTGTATAGTCTAAACCAGAGTGGACAATGTCTTTTTCGGAGGCACCAGATATACGTTTCTGGAAGGCTTCGGACGGTGTGACGGGAATACGGCCGCCAACGCGACCAAACCTACGCTCTAGAGACTCTTGCACCGATTCTACAAAGATAAATTTGTCAATTATTTGTTTATTATTTTAAAGGCCGTGCTTGTACATCAACCTTAATTAAATTTGTTGTCTAACGTACCTAAGAGATGATAATTAGACTCCCTTTCGTATTTGAAAGTAAGGCGGCCATATGAAACGTGATTCAAGTTCTTTAACCACTCAAAGAACGAGACTGTGACACCACCGGCGTTAATGTACAAATCCGGGATTACAAGGATATTCCTGTCGATCAGAATCTTATCTGCGGCAGGGGTAGTCGGTCCATTAGCAGCTTCTGCGATAATCTTTGCCTTCAAAAATATAATTTGGATTAATTATCATTTTTTAATTACTGTTTGAGATCTTTTAAGATTTCATTATTATGCAAATGATACATCAAAGCAGTTATTTTTCGATAATTTTTAGAATACACAAAATATATGAAAAATAAAAATACATTTCCAAGAAATCGACTAAAAATCAGATAATTTTAATGTTTTGTCAATTCAAAGTGAAGTTTAATTCAATATCAATATAAGTTGCTGAATATAAACTTTTCTCCACATACGTGCAGTAATCAACTATTAGAATATATCAAAATAAGTTTTGCAAATGCGGTAAAATAATCTTTACCTGGATACGTCCAGCATTCTCTTTGGTTATTACTTTCTCTGTGGCCGCAGGTATAAATATATCACATGGTTCGTACATGAGATTTTCGCCTTCATATGGTTTGGCACCAGGGAAGCCAATGATAGTCCCGTTTTCTATGCGGTACTCTTCCAATTCCTGAAATGCATAGAAATAACCATCATAAATATCAATATGTAAAAGAAAAGGAGTTTTATCATAAATCCTGTTGTGTAATTATGTTGTGGAAAAAAATTAGAATAGTTTTACATAAGACAAACTACTGTTTACCTTTGGGTCGATACCCTCTGGGTTATAAATGGCTCCATCGTGTTCGATCACACCTATGCATGCGGCGCCCGCGCGGTGTAAATAACGCATAGAGTGCAAACCAACATTACCAAAACCTTGGAGAATAAATGATTTACCTCCCCAACCGGGCGTAGTACCTACGGATCATTATACTTTTCTTATTTATTCAGCACTAACGAACCACTAAAAATCTTAAGATACATTATAAGATGATACTAGCTAGTGAGCAGGTATAAGCTTAAATTTTAATAATCTCAATGTAAAATTTATTTTTATAATAATTTGACATCTTTCTGATAAAATGTTATCTCTTTTAGTGCGACTAAAGAAGATTATAATTTATATAATTCATACAATGTTTTATTACTATGTTGTATTTATGTATTTGTAATTTATAAATAATTAATTTAATATCATATAATATATTGACAATTAAAATAGCTAATCAATTTACAAGCGTACCGATCATGCCCATGTAACCAGCTTCGTTGATAAAATTTGCTAATCCGTGAAACACTCCACGTCCTGTCGCGGAAATACGACCATGAATACCGCCCTGATTGATAGGTTTGCCAGTAACACAAGCGTGCGCGTTGATGTCGAGATGGCCGATAGTTTTTGCGTAAGTATCGGCTATCCACGACATTTCTCGTTCGCCAGTGCCCATATCGGGAGCGGGAACATCAACTCCAGGTCCTGGAAAGTACAAACAAATTCTTTTTGAGAAATATAAAGATGTAGAAATAGACAAGATTAATTTACAAAATCTCGATATTTCGTTAATAGATACATAATTATTCTAATTCAATACTGAAATATCTTGAAATAATAAAAAAAAGTATTATAAGTTTAAATTTTATTTTATTATTAGTTTCAAAAATAGTTAACAATTTTACTCATTTCAAATTTCACTTATTTCGAAAAAGAAATGATAAGTTATGAAACGATAAACCAAAAATTTCGTAAAATAAAACTTTTTTTTACAAAAAATGGCTTTATTTTGAAATGACATCGAAAATAAAAAATTAATAACATGTTCACGCTTTTCTAATCTTGATTAATTTCCACACCCGCCTTACGCATGTATTATATGCGAGTTTATCTCATTAGCGGTTATCGAGATATACAAAAAGATAAAGTTTTTGGTAACTTTGAATATTTTATACCGTCATTTTTGAATGCCATACTTGGCATACTTCAATCAACCACTGTTGAAAGAACTTTGATGACATATAACGCAGGAGATCGTTAAAACTCATTCGATCTTATAAAAGTACAAAAACGTAGCGAAAAGAGCGGTTTTCATCGAAACAATTTCCAATAACGTCATTCGCTTCAGATCAGATTACCCACAATCTCGATTGCTAACAATCTTTATTGCGCACAGAGCGACTGCCTACAAGCATTATTGCCCGTAATAAGTTGAAATACAGATTGATTTCTCGTTCGTGCACAAGCACATTGCTTGATACTGTTAGCAATCGTTTAGTCGGCAAATGGAATCTTCTTGGATTTACTATTAATTTTATCACTCATTTATCTCTTGAAAAAAAAAGTTTATTCAACATTTTCGATTTTTTTCAAGAGAAATCAATATCTTTTTGATTCTACTAATAGTTTGAAAGTTGTATACATATATGTTTCTTCATGCATATATAGTATCAAAGTCTAGTTATACAAGATTGCCGCGAGTGGGTATAATTAACTTGCTCAAGCCGACCAAAATAAACATTTATACAATGTTAGTTATACTATACTTAGCAATCCTATAACGCGATACTTGTTTACCCATATTTTTAATCTTGCATCGGTATATTTATCACATTTATCTATATATATGTATCTTAGCAATTAATGTTTCTTTTTGCTCAAATATTTCACGCGAATAAAAATGTCAATAAGTAAAGTGCGCTTCAAAATCTACTCGCTACATTCGCGTGTACAGTTCGCTAATAAATCTTCATGATAATTGGGCCGTACAGCCAGCTGTGCCTTAGCATTTGGTTTGTGACGTAACGGCGGTGAATTCTGTATAGTGATTGGCATTACGAGAGCAGTGGTAGAACCTAAGATGTTTTCACGTCTTCTCAGCGATGTCTAAAATTATCGCTCAATCGTCACGCCTCCGTTCGCATCGTTTATGATGATGTTACATCAGAGATTGTCTTCATCGAAGCATCGGTCGAAGAACAGAGTTTTCCTCGATTGTTTTCTTTTTTTTTTAGCTCAACGCAAATTCTTACCGATAAATCCCTTCTTCGCTAATTCCAACGTAAATCTTCTGGTAATTTTCTCCAGTTCGTGCTCCGAATAGTTCTTCGGGTTGATCTTAATTCCGGCTTTTGCGCCACCGAACGGTACATCGACGCACGCACATTTGAATGTCATCAAGGCCGACAGGGCCTTAACTTCGTCCCGTGAAACGTCCATCGAGAAACGAATACCTATAATAAAAAACCATTTTTGTAGAAAAAAAATTGATCTTATAAGTATCTTCTATATACATTCTAATAATAAAATTATAATATAAAAAGGTAGAAAGTGTACGAACACATGACAGATTTTTGTCCTTCATTTATTATCTCAAGAACTGCCCGTAGTAGTAAAGCTATAAAAAAAGAAATCTAAAAATAATATCGACGTTTCGCGAACGTTTTTCCATCACGCGCGGATAATAATATTTTATTTGCTCTCCAATTTATATTCTACCTCTAAAATTTCACGTGACACGCGTAATGCCGCCTCGATAATGAATTTATTTAACAGCTGGTAAGCCACTTGACATCTCTTTTCGAGTACCTTATAAACAGCGAACAAATAGTTTGCTTTATTACATCATCTATGTATTATAACAATTTTTATTTTATATTTCGTTATCGTTATCTGTCTCAATTGAAAGTTTTATGAAACACGATTATACAAATATCTCAAAAAACAAATCAATTTATTTTTAAAATAAATAAATTTAAATTTAAAATAAATATATAAATTTTAAAATATGAATTTCCTTAATGTATCTGCAGCTATAAAATAAAGTTTTTCTAATCGCGACATTTCTTCTCGTAACATTTAACAGCAAATAATAAATTATACATATATCGCCAGATGAAATAAATCATAACTTGATATAACGTTTATAAAAAAAAAGTCGACATGCACGAGAACTTGGTCTACAAGCTCGTTGATCCGAAATATCATGTCATTGTCGTTAAACGTGCCCGCCAATTAATTTATTTTAGGGCGGTCGCTCAGGCAATGGCCATGGCCCTGGCATGAATAAACAAAAAGCTCAGAAAACGCATGCTGTTACGTGCAAGACACGATGTAATATTTTAAATATTGAACGAGTAAAAACGTTGTCTCTCTCGACCAAACTTTATTCAGGCGACTATACATTTGGCAAACAAATTATTGTACTACGCTTAATTGTAAGTGTGTGCGCTACTGCGCTACGAGTTATTATAAGGCCGGTTCTTCAAAAGACTTTTCTTTCTTTTGTTCTGTTTTTTCTTTGTTTTCTAGAAATGAATCCTGGAATAAACCACGCAGCGCAATCCTTTGAAGAGATTTATAGATCCTTCGTCGGAAAAAGAATGGCACGGAAGTGTCTTTCATATTTTTCTTTTCGATTCCTTTGTTTTTAAATTAACAGTTTAAGGTAAATGTATCAATGCCTGGATAGTTAGAGTCCTTAAATAAGTATAAACGAAACGAAAAAAGAAACTCTTGAGACAAACCTGCGTTCAACAAAAAGACGAATGTTTGTTAAAATAATAATAATCCATAGCATGTGTTCTAAAAAAAAAACGATGATTTATGTGATTTTTCGAAAGGAAAAGTCCCTTTGAAAATTGAAGAAAAACTAGACAAAGATCAATATACGTAAGGGATTCATTAGGCAGGAGAAAATTTTTTTACAGCTGTGTCAGATAAATGTTTCAGGGACGGAAATTCTTTTTATCTTTTCTTTTCAAACACAAAAGATAATACAGATAGCAATATAAAAGATTTTAGTATTGATATACGTTTATAAACTCACATCGTAATAAATCGTATAAATTTTATCAATCTTCGTTTTCTGTTGACTCGAACAAACTCGACTTCCTGATATTAGACGTTGCAATAATTTGCATACAATACCGAATCTTCGAGGGAAATTCCGAATTCGTTTATTCGTCCGTGAGCATTTCCGACTTGTTTCGCGAGAGAATAAACGATATTATCTCGATTTAGATGGCAAACATGATATAATGGTAATTATATCATTATCTAAAAGTACCGTCCATAAACGTGCCGCCCGCGGCTTCAGACTTTCGTTTAAAAGTTATTTAACAAACTATTATGTCTACGTATTAATGCTACATATGTACATTACTCCTCCTTTTTATCAGTCGATCCACAACAGGCTGAAACAAGAGATATGTAGCTAACAAATGTGAGAAGCACTTTTAATTCGTCAGCAACGTAACGCGAGACAAGGACTATATTACTCTTTTTTTCCTCGTGTAGACGAATTAATTATTGTAGCAATTAACGCGTAGAAGTTTGCGAAAAGTTATAACTAATCTTTTTTTAATTAATCACACAAGAATTTAATCGAATATACATGCAGATGTATTTGTTGTAAGAAGTACTTTTCATAAAAATTATATGCGTAGTAAAAATGACAAAATGTACCGTACTATATTGCAAATGTATTGGAGATATATATAGAAAAAGATATACGCATTGCTTAACCCTTTCGTCCCAGCTGTAGCTATATAGCTATGTATTTAGAACATTACGAAATAAAATATCGTTATAACTATATTTTCGTGTCTGGTGAATACATTAGTTTTGTATACATAGTTCTAGTAATACGCGCGTATGTATTTAAATATTTACTTAAAAACTTCTCGATAAAATAAGATGACGTTTGTTATGATAATATAAGACCCAGAAAAGAAAGGAAAAAAAAGGAAGTTGTTTAGAAATATCTTTTCCAGAACAAGATAATGTTCCATATCGAATTACGCTTATTGATAAAGCGAAAAAGATCGTTTCCAAAATTTCCATTTAACCGAAAGCCTAATTTAAATATATATATATATATATATATATATATATATAAAACGTAAGTAAATGTATTTCGTATAGTTCCTTTTATAAAATGTGTAAACTACATTGTATTTTATTAATAAATAATTATTTTATCTATGTTCAACATTTCTTAGGATCAAAAGTAAGCTAAAATCCTACGTAACAACATTAGTGTTTCGTTATTTCTTAATGTTGCCAAATAAAGACGAACAAAAAAATCCTTAAACATTTTCAAAATGTTTTTATGAATTGTTCATTTATCATGTAATATGCACGAAAGTACGGATAAATATTCTTTTGCAGCTGTTAAATAATTTGGAAATGGAAGATTTAAACTTGGAGATTTTTATAATATTAGCATTTTGATTTCGTAAAATAAACTGTGTTATCATAGACCTTCGTCTAGATCTTCGTTGAATCTCAAAGAAATAGTGAATGATCAAGCTATAAAACTCTCTTAAGTATTGCGTGTTTACATAAGACATAAGACTAACTATAGCAATAAATAACTAACTTGGACACACCTAATTTATAATAACTGTACACGTGGACGTCGAAATGGTTATCTTCATGCAATTGTACTTCACAACTTTTCAATGAGCTGATAAAACCAAATTAGCGGATTATCAGTCTTTAAAAATTTTAAAATACTGCACCACAACCTGCGAATAAATATTCAAAAACATTCGTATGAAATATTTTGCGTGAAATGTGCAAATTTATCACCGACACGAATCTATAATAGTGAGCGATCCAAGATTCCAAGATTAATACAGGATTAATATCGTTGGAACGAAAATCTGTACTTGTATCCTTTTCCCAACCTCTCCTCGTATCCTTCATCCTTTTTTTTGCAACTCGATGGAAGTCGGAATTATATTTTCCAGTTTTTGAAAATCCATCGAAAAGATGGCTTGGCTATTTTTTTGAAATATCGTAAGACAGACAATAATGTTAAAAAAAAAGTAGTTTACCCCTGTTTGCAACTTTTTTTACTTTAGCAAAACGTTGTCGAATATAAAAATAGAGTCTTTCTCGTTTTTTTACTTTGTTCATATTTTGAATCGATCGAAAATTAATCGGAATTACGATATTTTTTAAATAATATTAATAAAACTGAAATATTTCATATTCAGATACTGGTTACTTATTAATTGTCTTCTTTTATTTTTAACTCTTTAAAATACAAATACGAAACAAAAAAATGTTAAAGATAGGTTGAAAACGAAATGTTTAAACGAATTATATATTATAAATTTATATCTTTTTTTTATAAAATCAGGCGACGAGTTCGTGTTGTATGAATGTATCTCTGAAGGTATTTACAGTGATATCGCGAAATCATGTGGGAAGAAGAGGCACGTCACGTGTTATCAGTCGCGTGTATTAACGATAATATCTTCAATCGCTTACCATCCTATCATTACGGCACGGTTTCAAGTATCTTGAAAACGTGAGAATGTTCAATATCTCGAATCAAAGAAGCAAAATATTTCGCAGAAATCGTCAACTCTTTTAACCCAAGAACATTCGTCTGATTTTCACACCCCAGTAGCGAGATAAACATCACAATAGTTTCTTGATCTAATCTGACTGAATTTTTCCGTTTATCTAAACTGAATTTTTCCGTTTATCTAGATTGAATTTTTCCATCTATCCAGATTGAATCCTTCGATCCACAATAAAAAAGTAAAACAAAAACATAGCAATAAAAGACATAGCTTCTTATATGTCAAAATTAATTCCCTGGAATTCCTCCCGTATTTTCATTTCCTTCCTATTGTTGTTCATGATACGTATATGGGCCCTTAGGAAGACTCTAATACTCTAATCAAACTCCAGTTAACTTAATCAAAATCAGTTAACTTATAGAATTATCAATGTTTTATAAAAAGAAAGATTAAATTAAATGATACATTACATAGTTAAAAATTTTGCTGTAAGCACTCGTGCCGATTGAATTGAATCATCAAACTCGCCTTTAAGCCTCGTTAGTTTAATATTAAACACAGTGACTCATAAAACTGATCAAATATACTGCATAACAATTATCTAGAACCAATTCGACAATGGCAATCCACAAAAATGACCTTTCGATATCAACATAGCATATAAACGAGCAATTATCTACGATCCTGCTACAGATATTCTCCTTTACGAAATTTCAACCCAAAAATTCAATGACAAGGACGATTCGATCAGTTCCCTGAGTCACTGCGGCTACAAAAGAAACAAATTACGAATCAATCAATTATCACCGAGTCGGGATACTGTCGATTACAAAAAAATAAAAAGGTCGTGTAATCCCGTACCTCCTTTGCACGGCGTTCGATGGGTGGAGTGCTGGGCGCGATAGCCGGTGATCATCTCGTAGTCGCCGGAGTCGCGCCTGAGCGGGAACGTGGTCTCGAGTATGTGGTCGCACGGCTCCATCAGCATCAGGATACCCTTGACCTTCTTCTTGCGCTCCTCGATCGAGACGCGCGAGCGCTTGTCGAGATCCTCGACCAGCTTGTCCTCGATGATCTGGCAGGCGCGATGAAAGAAGTACTCGACCATGTCGAAGAATCGCGGATTCGGCGCCTCGGCCACGTCCTTGAGACGATCCGGGATCTGGTGGTCGGCGTAGCCGCGGCGGGCCGTCGCCGCGTGCCAGGCGGCCGGCGTGACCCGCCTCAGCATGCTCCGCACGTCGTTACCCGGCGCCTGTTTCAGGGCGATCGACGACGACCGCGCGAGGCTCCGCAGGTGAAACATCTTCGCGGACGGCGCGACGATGGAGACGCTAACGACGACACGACGAACGCTGACGGCGGGTTTAGCCGACGTTGACGATTCTCACAGATCACAAGCCTCACCGAGCACAAAGTCAGGTTCGCCGACTCCCCCGCAACCTCTCCAATCGGCTCTAACTGGCTCTAACGCCTCTAACGCACACCCGGCACCGTCCCGCTTGCTTCACGGAGTAACGTGGAGTGTGGAGTAACGACGAAGTCCATGAAGTCACGAAATACGTCGTGCCAGTCGGCAGAAAAGCGACACGCCGACTCCGGAGACCTCATTCGGGCGAAAGCGCGAAGCTCCGGATTCAGGAATTCAGGCTTGTCCATAGTACTCCATAGTAGTAAATAGGAAGATCGCGCGTTCCCCAGTTTTATGTCCATAAACGTAAATTCGATTGTTTTTAGAACTAAACAAAAGGAAAGGATATAAAATAAACAATTTATCTGTCACTGTAAAATGAGCATGCCATGCATCGTGTGACGAGAAATCGGCGGTATTATATAGATATACAAGAATCGATCAAATCATCATATTATGGTACTGACAATTACTATTTTGTGATATACATAATACATAATGGAATTATTTTATTTAGAAATTTGGAATTATTATTTTCGATTAATTCACTTATGTATTTAATATTCCCATTATGACACAATTATATAACTATGATTAATTTTTCAAGTTTAGGAATATGAAAAGATATATGTAATAACATAAAATAATTAGCTAAATATTAATTATACAATTTCGCAAAATCCTTTGTTAATCTAGATAACGAATACGAAATATAAGAGAAGCCGTATAAGCAGGAGTAGAGGACGACATCAAGTCTAGAATTTTCAGACGATTTTCGCTTTGGAACATGGCCTGTTCATTTTTGAGGAATAACACGTCCCGTGATCGCAGTGAGACTTTTGTCAATTCCGGTCAAACTCGCCGTGCAAATCGGCCGCTTATCGCTAGGTCAGGCGATAAGCAGGAATGCCGACAGTAAGGAAGGACACGCGGTTATGACCGGCGCGCATACCGCTTCCACTTCCACTTTTCTCATATGGGTATCTGTGCCATTGGGGACACTCGGTCGTTGCATGGACGAAGATGGTACTATTGCACGTGGCCGTCAGCTGATATGTGTCGTGCGCCTGCGGCACACGTCGTCTCGCAGCCTCCTTTCCATTCCACCGAAACGTTTCGCATCCATTACATCAGTCGGAGTCCAGCTGTCGACTGGAACGGAGGCGTTCCTCTGCCTGCTGCCATCGCTCGTTGCCGAGCTGCCACAAGCTTCGTGAGTATTATACACTTTGCCTTATTTCACTCAGGAAGCTTAAGGCAATCGAATGACGATCAAACGATCCAGTCTCGATTTCCAGTTCAATCGACCTGCCCGCGTGTGAGGGGAGAGCCAGTTTAAAAATAAACATATATTAAATTCATCTTTTAGAACGAGAGTGAAACGAGAAAGAACGGAATTCGCCCCGAGTGAGATCGAGTGAAAAGCTACTGGTACTATATCTCATATATAGAAGAATGAATATTCGATAACAGAAATCTGAATCCCCCACAACTTTCGATAAGATTAGCGCCTGCACTCATCGATTTTATCAAGTCTTCATAGGAGAAAATCGAATCCGAGGCGCAAAGTGTTAGAGGAGTACGCTAGCAAATTTCGAGCAGAAAGTCGGGACAGATTGGTGTCTACCGCGTCCGTATCACACTCGTGTTCTGTCAGCAAAATCTGTCATCGACGTAATCTGACGACAAGTCGGCCGCAGAAACCGAGCGGAATCTGTCGTTTCGTAGCCATTAAAATAGAACACTTTATTAAAATATGAAAGTAAATCATTTAAAAGGTAGATTCTGGAGTCTATTGTCATGTTTTGTTAGCGGATTCTGTTATATTTCCGCTGCCATTCTGCAATAAAATTTGTAGCAGACACTTTGTCAAGGCTTTTGAAAAATTTTACTGTCTATATGTTCATTTCTGTCAATGCTCAAATTAACTTTAATCTCGGTTTAACTTACTTTATATCTTCCTTTTTTTAGTTCTTAGAATTAGAAAAAGATAAAATAATTAGTCTGCATTGAAAGAAATTAACATAAGAAACCTGAAACCTTCAACTGTTTTTCAATTGTTCCCAATGATCGCTGACTGGGAAATTGTTGCAATTATTTTTTTTCCAACAATTAGACGAGTACAACACGTTTCTACAACCTGCGTCCTCCAGACGCTTAAATTTACATTAATTACGATTGTTAATTACCGATTGTCATGAGTGACTTTCAGCTTTTGTCTTGCATACATTTTTATTGTATGTACAAAGATTTCATAGCGAAGTTTTTCACACAAAGGTGGTTTGGTATCTCTTATTCGAGAAACCTCCTCCAAAAATGCGTGCCAATCGCGCGTTTAGAGTCGCCGTTATCGCAAGATCGCTTTATCGTGGCTTTAATTTTAGCACGACTCGAGTTACTTGTTCAGCAAGAATTTCCGGTTTATATTTGCGCGTGGGATCGTACAACATTGCAGGATTTATCGCGTTCTATGTCTCAAATAAATTTCTGATTCAGAAAAACGGAGCAGAAATTTCGATATATTTAATATTATTTATTGCTACAAGATATACATGCCGCCAAAAAATTTGCATTATTTTTTATTTATTTGTAGAAAAAAAATACATGTGCATATCTTTCTATCTTATGATCACCATTAACTTTGATACTATAATTTTTCACAGCTTTCTCTTCTTCCTGTAAAATATTTTCAACGTCGAAGTGGGAGCCAGCGTTTCTACATGATGACCAAATAATTATATTGACATTCCGTTTTATTAGCATACATTAATTTATCAGGTAATATAAATTAATTATACACTTTCTTGATAAATCAGTACAGATTTTAATTAATTGTTCTGTTTGCAGTGCCCGTACCAACGCCATAGAAATGTTCCTAATTGTTGCTTGATACAAGATAGAAAGATAAGTAGAACAATGACTGACACGTCCTATATCTCAATTTTAAGATGAACGTGGGAGACGGCGTTTCTGCATATTTTTTTTTTTTTTTTTTTTTTTTTTTTTTTTTTTTTCTGTTTTTATCCTTATTTTTTTTCTAAGCTCACTTTCACTTGTTAGTAAAAATGGCGAAAGATATTACATTTGTCAATCAGTTTGTATAATTAGAAATTGTTTCAAATCACTAATAAATATCAATTCTCTTTATATGTAGTATGTAGACACGTTGTGAAGAGATTTGCAAGACTGAATGATCGGATCTTTCTTCCAGGTTCACTTGCAAACTCAACAGGAAGGCAAGCTATCGATAGTACATTCTACTATCGGGATAATTAGGAAACAGGGAATATTAGCTTTATACAATGGACTCAGTGCTTCCCTACTTCGCCAACTTACGTATTCTACAATAAGATTCGGCGCATACGAGGTTGGTGCATGCAAACCTTACACACGCTATCTATTATGCATAAACCATTTTTCTTCTCAATTTATTATACACAGATCATGTTATTAAATATCATAGGTCGGCAAACAGACGCTCGAGTCGTCTGATCATCCATTACCATTTTACCAAAAGTTGCTGCTGGCTGGAGTTTCGGGTGCTACGGGCGGTGTTTTTGGAACTCCCGGCGATGTGATTAATGTACGCATGCAGAATGATATCAAAGTAGCGCCAGAACTAAGAAGAAAGTAGGAACTGACGTTCTTATGCTTGCTTACTATATTTTGCTGGTCTCGTTAATATATTCCTTTATCGCGCAGCTATAAGCACGCTTTGGATGGACTATTCCGTGTAATTCAACAAGAAGGGGTCCGCCAATTGTTCAGTGGATGTTCGACCGCGACCATGAGAGCAGCGCTGATGACTATCGGACAATTGAGCTGTTACGACCAGATTAAAACGATGCTGTTACAAACTGGCTATTTTCGGGATAATCCTTCGACACACGTATTATCTAGTGTATCGGCAGTAAGTATCTGTAAATAATACTAAGATTCGTCATTCCAAGTCCATGCTGCGCTTGAAGAACGATAACGTTTTATGTTATTTTCCCTTTTTGATAGGGTGCTATTGCGACAACGCTTACGCAACCTTTAGACGTTCTGAAGACACGAGCAATGAACGCTAAGCCTGGAGAATTTAAGGTCAGTACATACCAAATGGAATAAATTAAAAAAAAAAGAATATAATTCGTAACTATTATTTTCTGTGTATAGAATCTAATGGAAATCTTTCTATATACTGCCAAACTTGGGCCACTGGCTTTTTTCAAAGTAAGTATGATGGAAACAAGATCCTTATATCGATACTAACAAATAATTTTATTTGTAAAGTTTAAATAAAATTTGTTTTTATTTTAGGGCTACGTACCTGCTTTCATCCGGTTAGCACCGCAAACCATTCTCACATTTGTGTTCCTTGAACAACTTAGATATAATTTTGGATTCTATCCACAATCCGTGAAGCCATTGTTATAAATATTGAAATAGTTTTGATAAGCAGGATTTTGTTGAACAAGGTTGAAACGGATTCGTTTCGTAGCAGGTTGTACAGGAAAAAAGCGGGTAGTGTCAAATTTTACTATATATTTAATTATTCAGTCGCACACAGTTTAGTTTAATGATTAAGCTTTAATTAGAAATTAATCATTACGTCTCTGTCTACCGATATTTGAGTCAAAAATCCTCTTACAATCGATACATTCCTTAAATTAATGGTGACATATATGTTTATGTTATATTATTAATACAAACACACATATATTTTGAAGTATATTATTTAAAATGTGTATATAAATACACATATACATATTTTAAATAATAAAAAAATACAGATTTATACTTTTATTTAATTGTGTCTTTTACACGTATACGAAGTGATCTTTTAAGTACAAAGAATGAAGGATATATATTTACTTACAAAAAAACTGACTTTTATAAACCCATCTTTTTTAAGGCCTTATATACTTCAAGTTATTCCACTTATGCTGTATTATATCAATAACCAATGAAATGTATAGTACAATTCGTGAAAGAGCTTTAGATAATTATATATAAAGAAAATATTTTTCTTAATTATTGAGATATGATACATATAAATTATTTTAGCAGTATGAATAGTTTGCTATTGAAAATATAAGTTATTTTTATGATAAAGATATTGCAATGAATTTTTAAAATTTCTGCATACCTGTATAGACTGAGAGTGAGAATACTAGACGTATTCTGAATCCAATACGCAAAATATTAATGTACTAGCAAATTAGTAGTAAATTTGATTAGATATTTCAGTAGACTTTATTAGATGTTTTAATAAAGATAGTGTAACAACAGATTAGTGGCATAAACCAAGCAAAATTCATTATCTTTCAAAATTTTGATAGAAATATTTAACTTAAACATATAAAGATTAAATACGAAATGAGACTTTCTCAGTTTTTGCCTCCAATCAACATGTCACATTCTGTTACCTATTGTTACGTTTCTGTCAGCATTCTGTCGACAAAATTTAAAGTATTTTGTAAAATCCTTCCAATAACAACTTTAATTATAAGACCCGGTAATAGCGGTAATTTTATTTTCTAATCTTGAATTATTAGCTTTATTCTAAAGAATTTATGGATGAATGATGGAAAATATAAAATAAATATAGAAATAAATATATGCATATTATAAATGTTTATATGAATATACCCATGTTTTTGTTACAAACAAATTAGAAGTTACATATTAAAACTATTTAAATGGAACTACAATATGCTTCGGTTTAGAAAGGTTTATGTATGTTTTCTCGAGATCGTCTTCTGAGAAGAACTGTTTTTCATAACTTTCGTAGTCCATCCCGCATAATAATTCTAGCTCCTTTACATCTTTTCTAGACAATAAATTTATAACACCTGGTGGTATCTCAGATATCTGAAACATGTTACAATATGGTACTAAACTACAAGAATTTGCATCGCATATCACAATGACAGAATTGCCAACAATTAAAATTTGCATCAGTCGACTAAATAAAATAGCTTCATTTTCCTCCTTCAAAATAATAACGCCTCTTGGATTACGAATTTTTGTTACATCTAACCCTTCACTTTGTGAGACGTAAAATAAAGAATTTGCATAGACACATGAAAATTTTATTTCTTTTGATACTACATCTGCCAATACAGATTCCCTAAAAAATAACAAGAAAAAGCCAGTTAATTATTATCGTTGAGAACAATTAAATGGAGATATAACAAACTAAAGGTCTCCGCACAATAAAAAATATAAGGAACAAAGGAACAGATATTAGCGATTAGAACTAAAGAATTAAGAATAAAGTTGGATGCACGATGAAAAATACAAGCAACGGAAAAGGGAATAACACAGACAATAGATTTTTAACCTATCAGAAGCCATGTATTAATGTTACACCAGCTTTATTTATCTGATTTCTTATTTCTAATCGCTAATATCTGTTCCTTGTTCCTTATATTTTTCATTGTGCGGAGACCCTAAAAGACACTATTAACATGTATAAAAATTTTATAATAACTTAACGCGCGCAATACATACCCACTGCCCTCTAACACGGATGTAAATTTAGATAATATTTGCGTTCTACAAGCAACAGATTTACTACTCCAAATTTTGAATCCTTTCTCGGCTGAATTAATGCATTTGTTAACATCGTCACTGCAATGAAAATATATCAATAAAAAATAAATTATGTATGAATTTGACTAAACATCATAAATTTGAAAGAATCATATAATTAAGATCAAGAAATGTATCTGTACCTTGTTGCATTTGCCCACTGTCTATCATCATGTATCCAATATGTGCCTTTTACAGGCAATTGCCACATACCATCGTAAAATAAATTGTTAACTGAACTTTTTACCACACTCATCTTTTTCATAGAATCATCAAAATCAGGCTTGCACAATTTATGCACCGTTTTGCCAAATATTTTTGTAAATGGCAAGAGTACGATACCATTGTAAAAGTCCATGTAGGTATTTATAAATATCACATCTCCCTAAATAGTCAAATACAGAAATTTATATTAATAATAGTTTGAATAATTTCTCAAGCAGTATTATGTTACATGTATAACTACAATACTATACATATAAAGACATCGCCAAGTTTTTGGCAAATGCAATATCTTCCGTCCATATAGATATTATGTTCATTTCATCTGCAGTCCAGGCAGTCCAGCAGGCTATATATAACTCTTCCTTCGTTCGAAATGTACAAATATCCCAAATATCCTGAATATTTCCGATCCCGCCGATGTTATTCATAAGCCATAAAAACTTCTCTTTTATTGGATCTTGAACCCAAATACGAGATATAGACATACCGACATATTTATAATATGTAATGAACGCATATAAATCAGAATCTGCCAAAATTATTACTGTTTGGGTGTCTCCTATAACAAAATATTTAAAATCTTGATTACGAGAAGAGCTACAGATTTTTATCACATTAATTATTAATGTGCTTATCTTACTATTATACGTTTGTTTCAAATGTTGATATTGAATCGATTTTTCCAATGCTGATTTTGTACTAAAATATAAAAACAATTTGTACATAAAATTGATGACAATATTAATTTGGTAAAGGACAATTAAGTTAACATATATCTAAGAGCATAACATTTTTGATAATTACATGATGGCATTTATTATAAAATGACATAATATCTCACTATATTCATCACACATTTTCAGGATTGTAAATAGTACTAACAAGACTATATCATCCTTCTCATATTCTTCATCTAAAAGAAATAAAAATAGAAAAAGATTGTTTAAAACAAAATTCAAATCTGACGTGGTTTTGTGCACTACATTCAGGGAAACAAAATAAAATTTACATAACATATAAATAACGGAATATTACCATATTTACTGTGATGGAGCATAAACTTCATGCCAAAATAATTTAAGTATTTGATAATAGTCGTAATTATATCCGTAAATTCTACATCAGCTTTAAACAATGATAAATTCTTTTCCATTACAGATGCCGTTTTAAGAAATCTGTAAATATACATTAAAAATTGACCAAACATGTACGCTTCCATCACGTGTTGCTTATACTTTGAAATTGAGCATGTTTACCCACTAAAATATACACTAACTGGAACAAGCGTTGGGCTTGCCTGCGCGATATGAGAGAGAGCATGTCATATAAGGTGTCTCGAGCAGCGCTGGCTCGGCTCGCTCTGTCCTTGTTTGATCTTCTTGATCGATCTGTACTTTATCCTCACTCCATCCTCTCTACTCTTGACTACACTGTGGGTTAAACAAGGAGAAAAGAGGAACTTGGGACCTCTCTCTCATATCATTCCCCAGGTAGCAGAATAACGTACGTCTAAAGACGTTTTATTGAGATGTCATTAAGACATTATTAATATGTCATTTGACATTACTTTGCTGCCTGGGTCGCCTATCGTGGATTTCTATAGCAACGCTCATTTCAGTTTGTATATATTTCAATGTGTTTACCTATCTGAAAAGTTATTACGGTCCGCTAAGTTCATTTTCTTCCCTAAAGTGAATATTTTCGTTTCCGCTGAATAGCTCTAAACATATACATAAAAAGTGATGTTATATATCTTTTACAGACAATAGATTAATCCGAGAAAGGGCACCTGGGACTACTTAATCACCCCAGTGTCGAAAAAATGATGTTTACGTCACAGTAATTCTAATGTGCTTCTTTCGTTTTTTGAATATTTTTTTGGTTTTTCCTTACTTTTTTCGGAAAATGTTGAGTAAATCTGTATACATGTTGTCCTCAAACTGATAAATTATAGAACCAAAATATGTAATTAATAACAATAATCCTTAATTGGGGTGTAAAAGTAGTCGCAAGTGAGTTTATGGAAAAAAAAAATGGAGCGCCTTCTCCGGTTATGATGCGCACTTATTAATATTTATTAACAGTACGTTCATATACATACTTTCCATATTTTATCTGCGATATCTGTGTCTTCGCCGTCCCCATCTGGCAAATTAATTGTATCATATTCCAAATCAGTATAACATTTCTGTATAGCTTCCAGTAGTTCGTCCTCTATAGCTTCCATGATTATAATAATCAATTTCAATATTGGTAAAGAATTAAAGATTTATGCACTTGCGACTGATTATCAGTCTAAAAACGATAAAGAACGGATAGCTGTTCACGCGTGTAAAAATACTTCAATGTTCAGCTGTAAATCAACGATCTCTTGCGAGGCACTTTATAACCGATTCGACTGACAATGACTTATAACTGACAATATCTTCTAGTCTCTACTTCTGTTTATCAAACTTGTGTTCTTGTGTATTGAATCGGAGAGGGAATCTCCCGCGTATTAGCGACACCTGAATATGTGGAACTACATAAGCCGCAACTACTTTTCGGCACTGTCGATATACCGTTGTTCGTAGACAAGCAAGTTCGATTAGATATTTCGGTAGACTTGATTAGATGTTTTAATAGAGGTAGTGTACGTAACAATAGATTGGCGACATAAACTCAGTACAATTGATTATCTTTTAGAATGTTGATAAATTCTATTTATTTCTATTCTATATTTAATTTAAACATAAATGTTAATACAAAATGAGATTTTTCTCGGTTTTTACCGTCAATCTACTATATGTCGTAGTCTGTTACCGATTGTTACATTTCTGTTGGCATTCTGCCGATAAAATTTATAGCACTTTGCAAAATTCTTCCAACAGGTTCGTTCACAAGATGTGGTAATCTCTGTCTTCTAATCTTGAATTAGTTATCAGCTTTATTCTAACGAACTGATAGATAAATGATGAAAATTATAAAATAAATGGAAATAAACACATGCATATCATAATGTTTATATGTATAATCATGCCTTTGTCACAAACATTAGACGTTACATTTAAAAACTATTTAAGAGGAACTATAATTTGTTTCGGTGTAGTAAGGTTTATGTAAGTTTTTTCGAGATCGTCGGGATCTTCTGAGAAGAACTGTTTTGCATAGCTTTCGTAGTCCATCCCGCATAAAGATAATTCTAGATCCTTTACATTTTCACTTGACAACAAATTTATAACACCTGGCGGTATCTCAGATACTGAAAACATGTTACAATATGGTACCAGACTGCAGAAATTTGAGTCGCATATAACGATAACAGAATTGCCAACGGTTAAAATTTGCATTAGTCGTTGAAATAAAAAGATTTCATCGTCCTCCTTTAAAATAATAACACCTCTTGGGTTACGAATTTTTGTTACTTCTGACCCTTCACTTTGTGAGACCCAAGATAAAGAATTCTCATAAATAAATGAGAATTTTATCCATTGCGATGTTATATCTCCCAATACAAATTTCCTAAAGAGAAACAAGAGAAAGCCAGTTAAAAGATATCGTTGAGAACAATTAAAACCAGATAAGACGCTATGAAAATATTAAAAAATTTTATAATTAAACACGTAATACGTACTCACTGCACTTTAACGTAGACGCAAATTTGGATAATATTTGCATTCTACAAGCAACAGATTTACTGCTCCATATTTTGAATCCTTTCTCGGCTGAATTAATGCATTTGTTAACATCGCCACTACAACGATATATCAACACTAAATAAATCATGTATGAATTTTATCAAACATTATGAGAGAATCATATAATTAAGATCAAGAAAATGTGATTTTGTACCTTGTTGCATTTGCCCACTGGCTCACACCATGTATGTTCTTTACCGTGTAATATGTGCCTTTTACAGGCGGTTGCCATATACCATCATAAAATAAATTGTAAACTGGCACACCTCTTTGCACACTTAGCTGTTTTATAGAATCGTCGAAATTCGGCTCGCACCGTTTATACAACGTTTCGTCAAACATTTTTATATATGGCAAGAGCACGGTACCATTGTAAAAGTCCATGTAAGTATTTATAAATAGAACGTCTCTCTGAATAAGTCAAATACAGAAGTCATATTAATAATAGGAGGACAAATTTCTCGAGCAGGATTATGTTATAAAATTGAAATGCTATACATTTAAAGACATCGCTAAGTTTTTGGCAAATACAATATCTTCCGTCCATATGGATACTATGTTAATTTCATTTGGTGTCCTGGCTGTAAATAACTCGTTCTTCGTTCGAAATGTATAAATGGGAAAGGAATATTCGACATATTCCTTGACAAGCCACAAAAATTTCTCTTTTATTGGCTCTTGAACCCAAACTTTATTTACAGATGGGATTAAATCAAAAATGGATTTTCTATTCCTCAAATATCCAATGACGGCATACAAATCCGCATCTCCCAGAAGTATTATTTCATTTGTATGACCTATAACAAAATATATAAAATCTTTATTACGGAGAAAGATACAAATTTCTACTTTATTACTGATGTGTTTTTCTTACTTCTAATTTTATGTATTAAACGTTCATATCGAATCGATTTTTCCAGTGCTGAATTTTTGCTGAAATACAAAAACAATTTGTACATAAAATTAATGACAACATTAATTTCGACATAAGAAATATAAGCGACAATTATATATATTATTTAAAAGCATAACATTTTTAATAGTTACATGATGGCATGTTCCAGAAATGAAAGCATCTCGATTTCGCCACATATTCTCAGGACTGTAAGTATTACTAACAAGACTACATCACCCTTCTTGTATTCTTCATCTACAAGAAATAAAAAAATAAAAAAAGTGTTTAAAAAAGAATACAAACAATCTGACATGTTTCTGTGTACTATTGTTATTCACGAACAAAATAAAATTTGCACAAAATACAAATAACAGACGATCAACATATTTCTTTAAATTGCAATTATGAAGATTATATTACCGCACATACTGCCAAGCTTAAACTTCATGCCGAAATAATTCAAGTATTTGATAATGGTGGTAATTGTATCAGTATGTTCACAAGCAGCTTTAAAAAGAGATAAATTCTCTTCGATTACAGATGCCGTTTTGAGAAATCTGCAAATACACAATTAAAAGTGACATTTGTGAACGCAACTTTTTCATCGTGTCACTTATACTTTGAAATTGAGCCTATTTACCTCTCTGAGAAGTTGTTGATGTCCATAAATTTCAATTCCTTAGTTAAAGTGGATATTTTTGGTAGCGCTTTCTAAAAACACACATAGAAAGTAATGTTATATTTTTTTATATAAGACAATATAGATTAAGGTGCTCGCTTTTACACTCGTATTGACTTTCATAATTAATTATTAACCCTAGAATCCATGTATCATTTTTTTGACCTTCTAATCCGTGACTGGGGGCAATATCGACCCCACGCTTTATTTGATCGTAAAACCGGTCCTACAGAAATAAAGGGCCTTTAAACCTACATGAATTTCTTCGTTTTTTAATAACGAAGAGAATGGTATACGGTAAATTTAATTTTACTCAAGTTTAGTTAGTGAAAAAAGCCATTTAAAGACCGAAAAAATGCAGAAAATCAGCAAAAACCTCTTTTTTTAAAGTTTGCCTGGGGTCGAAATCGACCCCTCTCATGGATTCTAGGGTTAACAGTACCTACATTCATACAGACATATTGTACCTAAGTACTCATATTATTTATACTCACTACTGTGTTGTTTTCATATTCCAAATTAGTATAATGTTCCTCTATGGCTTTCAGTCGTTTGTCCATCATGATTATAATAATCAATTCCAATATTAAAAAATTAAAGATGCATGCACCTGCGATTTATCATCAATATATGACCACGCGTGTAAAAATATCTCAATATGGAACAGTAATTATGTAAGGCACTTTAAATTGACATTGTTGACAATATTTTCTACTATTTATCAGTACTTTATCATATAACCTATAATCCGGATGTTCTGCGCATCAGCGCCAACTGGAAAAGCAGACGTGATGAAACTACATAGCCGCATCTACTTTTCGATATTATCGACATACGATTGTCCGTGGTGCGTGTCCGTGCTACAAATCCAAAAAGAATTACGAATACGCACCTAATTACAATTATTTAATATATTACATTTTTATGTAAACGTTAATGCGTATTTTCAAGTTGTATGGAAAATAAGGAGAGAAAAAAATATCCCGAGATAAAATGACGTTCCTCCGATATTTATTTCTTTTATGTCTCGTATAGAGAATTTACATGTTAAATTATATATGGGATACAAATCATGGAGACAACCACACGTTGCACTGAGCCCTTATATTATATGTATATATCGTGGGGATAAATAATTAGGTAAAAGAGAAAAAGAAAACACAACTATACTTTTAGTTTTACTTCAAGGCACATATCCACTCTACTCGCGATTAATCGCGATCAATACAGTTATATGTTCGCGATCGCGTTGGTTTTGTTGTTGTTTGTCGTCTTTCGTATTTCGACGATCAATCTTCAAATTCACATTTTCCGTTATTAACGCATTGCGAACATAAATGTATAAATTCCTATTTTCCCGCTGCAACTGTATCGAGTTACTATGTGAGAAGCGAGAAATTACGAATCTCTTTCTCTTGCATTATATGTAGACATAAATTAACTTTTTTACACCGTCCCAATAAGTAGCAAGCTGATCTTAGATGTTATTTTGATGTGAAGATAACGACATTTGGACATTAAAATAACGACAAATAACGTCAGCTGCTACCTGGGACGCACCGCATGTATATAGACTGATAAAATATATTATATTTTTATTTGTAAAGATATTCCTAACATCTTTCTTCTTTTTTTATATTTTTATTAATATTATTAGCCATTCTTTACTATCATCGATTAGTAATACAAAATATGATGGATTAAAAGTTTCCTTTTCGACTTGTGGATTAATAAACAGCTATAAATCTTGAATAACTATCGTATGATTGATTTTCGATGGAAATACAGGATTTATATTATTATATTAAATTATATTGATGATATAATGAAAAGGAGACATCTACTTTATCAAATCGTAATCGAACATGGTTGTTGACACAAAAAGTCAATCTCTCTTAATGTGTAGGAGAGAAAATTCCTTCAAAAAGACTGATTTCTCGCTTTTGACGTTATAACTCAATACGGCTGCAATGAAGAAACGAAGGAGCCTTAAACTGCCCTCGGGACGGACGAACTTGGACGGATTCTGAAAAGGCGTGAATTAGAGCGTAAAAATTGACACACCAATTCAACTAAATTAGTTATTATATCACACACCAGCGTAATTAGTATCGCCTCCGACAATTGTATTCTAATATGTTATCGTGTAGTCGTATACACGTGATAATAAAACGCGAGACTTATGTGCGGGGTGCCGCTTGAAATACCGCGACGTCACGAAAACTTCTCTTTTATCGTTACTCTACTTTCTTCTGATCGATCTTCTTTCGTCACTAACAAAATTCCCAAAAAATCGATCAAAATTTCAAATGGAGAATCGCAATCGACGTTCTTCGCCAACAATTTATTACGTAGCTGGAATTTTGTTTTTCGAATTACCTTTAAACCTTTTTTTAGAAAGTATTCTTATTTTATTCGTAATTAAGTTGTTTAGAAAATATTAACGACGCGCTTTGCTAGCACTGAGAAGAATTGTTCGTTTTGTATTGTATTTGGTAAAATGACCGCTGCTGAGGCGAACAGCTCGCGCTCTCAAAACTGCAACTAAATCTAGCTTTGATTTATTTCGTTGACATTTTGTACGTATTTTTTTTTAATCGCTTGTTTTATCATATTCCCAACATGATTTGGAGTAGAATTCTACATACGTTGAACAATCTTTCAATCGTCGAGCGGCATTTTTTGAGACACCCCACTTACAACAGTGTAGGAATCTAACGCATACTTCTACGTTTCATCTATAAGTACTATGGTTCCATACAACGAAACATCGCCGTAATCACGATATCACTAATTATGGTAATAATAATTCCTAATCGTCCAGAAAGAGAGAGAGAGAGTGAGAGAGAGAGAGGGGGGAGGGAGGGACGACATAGGGATAATAAAATAGAAACCGCAGTTGCGCTGTGTATACCTGCTCGATATATACAGAGTTATTAATACTTTAACGTATAAATTTATGAACATATCGGAACATATCACTCATTTGCTACAACAAAGACATAACTAAAAAATTGTCATCTTTTAATTGTTTGCAAAAAGATGGCGAGAATTCAATACACTGAATGAAAAATTAAAATATAGCTAGATACATACTTTAAGAATGATATTACAAAATTGTAATGATTCAAAATACTTATTTTCTGGAAAGCTTTGTTTTTTTTTTAGTTATGTCGATGTTGCAGCAAATGTGCAATATGTGCGTGTGTCTTGATGAGCACTTAAATTTGTATATTAAGGTAACATGATCTTGGGTGTACGTCGTGTACTAAGATTTAATAATGTTTTATAATGATTTGTTAACTCCCGGAATCTAGAAATGCTATTTTCAATCGGGCGTATTATGTTTAAATACTTGTCTGTATCTTTAGATTCCGGAAGGATTAAAGTGTCAATGAACCCTTTGTAATACTTGTCGCAACTGATTCGCAATTGATTGATTGCGATGCGTCTCTTCTAAGATGCGTGTTATACATTTTCTTCTCTTGCGCGATAAAAATCGAAGCAAGAGACACTGGAAAGTGTCATTTAAATGCAACGATAGAAAATATCGTATGCATTACGCTAATCGATCGATCTGACATATATATATGTATATATAACGCATTTTGCTTAAGAATACACAAGGGATACTTTCTAATTATTCCAAGGCACGATGCGTGAATTGTTTTGCCGCAAGGAGTACGGTCATTCTCCAGGCAAAAAGGAATATCGGTGCAAAAGAATGAAACTCCAAAACAGACTCGACGATTAAGAAATCAAGAAAGAAAATCGAAATGGATCACCAATGGCTAAGGTGCGAGTTGAATATAAATGAAGATATGCGGCGAAAAAACAAATGTCCGAATAAATATCAAGAATTGTTATACAAAACTGCAGAAACTGTATCTATATTTATAGAAATAACGAATTTCTCTCGTTACATCGGAAAGGATGCCGCTTATGTCTCTAAATTCATGAAATATATCAAAAGTACTGATGTTGCTCATCCGTGTAACACCACCGATTATGGCGAATATTTCGCGGCATAATCTAATAATCGCTTCAATCGAATTACGATGTTCCGTCATGAGTAGCCGTTTCTCGGCATTAATTATATATCAGTTATATACGTTATGGTTATACGTAACGGCGATTGCTGACGGCGATAATTCTACTGTTTTTCTCTGCAGCCATATTGTACTACGACATCAGGCACGAGGGCTCATGTAAATCTTTTTTTCACACAAGTTTACACGTTACATTAGTCATATGTACATACTACGTACGCTACGTACTACGCGTCGGAATAAATTAATTTTCTTGCACACCCACACCACGTTTAACAGTACAATCGGTAAAATATATATCAAGAATTCTCTTCTCTTGATTAATAAACAATTGTAAATTTTGATTGGCTATCTTAAAGTTAATTTTCGTTGAAATATACATATATGATTGACTTAACCCATTAAGTCCTGCGAGATCCTTGCGCGCTTTTCTGTTTTAAACTTGTAACTCGGATCCTAATCAAAACTTCTAAACAATTAGTATAATTTAGGGGTAAAATGACTTGCTCCTCTAAACATCAATCGCGGTATAAAAATTTTGAATTAGAACCCAAGTTACGAGGATAAAACAGAAAAATGCGTGGTCTGTTAGAATTTAATGAGTTAAGGATCGAATTAATCCAGAATAATAAACGCACGCGAATATACGAGAAAGCTAATTTACTTCAATGTATAAAGAGAAAAGAAAAGGGAAAAAGGTTCACGTACCATGCGATTCGCTTCTCGCTTCTCGCGTCACAGTTCAATGCGGTTCCAATGAGGAAACAGGAGCTTTAAGACCATCTGCCTGAGCGCGTTCAAATTGCGACGTTACAATCATTCGTTATATCGTTTACGCCAGTTAACTCACTGTTAAGGAAGAAGAAAGAAGATATGCTCGCTTTTCTCTCTCTGGCCTTTCTTCCCTAACGGCACTTTTGTTCTCACCTCGCCTCGACCTCGATCGCAAATTAATATCTGACATTTTATATAACAAATACACGATCGAATCAAACTTTTGCGTCTGCCTGCTCTTGGACGTAAAATAGTTTAACGACATAATTGCCATTCGCGCGTTATATCGCAACCACGGAATGGAACGCTCTCGCGAATTCCAATAGAACCAAAAAACTGAGATTTCTCTCAGTCTATCTCGGAGTTCGGAAAATGCCGTTATTCATCATCGTGTGAAACGGGAAATCGAGGGACGCATGCAGAGAGAACAAGAACGCGTCCGTTCCGTACGAAGAACCGATGATTCCTGAGAGACGGGAAAGAGAGGGGAGGAGGGAAGGGCGGGGGCATATTTAGAGGGAGTTTAGAGGGTGTCCAAGAGATCGAGAAGCTCCAGCTGATTATTCTCGTCCCAGCCAGCGATCAGCAGGCTCGTGAAGTCGTCCTCGCTCAGGCTCACCTGCGTCGACTCCGGCACTTCCGACAGACTGTCCGGAATGGGGGGTGACACGCTACTAGGCGGAGTCTCGTACAGGGTGTTGGACAGGCAGCTGGTGGGCGGCGTGCAGCTGCTGCCGGTATTCAGAGCGTTAAGCGTCGTCGTCGCCGTCGTGGTCGTCGCCGTCGTCGTGGTCGTCGCGGAGGGGGATTGCCTCTTGGTGCCCCGAGACCGCTGCGAGATCATGGAACGCTGGCGCCTGGACCGCTTGCCCTCCTCCATCCTCTCGAGATCCAGCTTCCAAAAGCCGCCCTTGCCCGGCTCGTCCTTGGAGCGCGGCAGCTTCACGAAGCACTTGTTCAACGAGAGATTGTGCCGGATCGAGTTCTGTTCGCGATAAGCGATAGAGATTATTATCAGCAATTTAACGATGTTTGCGTTGAAGCGGCAGAGCCAAAAGTTTTCCTTTTTAAACTCAGAAAGCAAGTGAAGCGAAAACTTATACAAATTAGATAAAATATAATAGGTACATTTGATTGTTGATTAATTTAAGGAGAAAAGAAAGATGGGAACTACAAACGTAAAGTCCGCTTTACCTGCCAGGCTGGATCGGCGTACTTGTAAAACAAGAAATTCTCTCGGATCCACGCGTAGATGTTCGAAAGGGAGACCTTGTTATTGTTGGCGCGCATCGCAAGACAAATGATTGTGGCGTAGGAGAACGGCGGCTTCGCATTGGGATCCGTTCGATATTTGTCGGCATTTTCCGCGAGATCTAATAAAAATAGGAAAATCGAAAGAAAATTACCCGCTCAATTGTACACATGTGAGACATTATTACGGGTTGTATTTTTAGCGATTTTCTCATTCCACGATTCGAAGATCGATATATCATCTAGACACAATTATCCGCAAAAAATTGATCAAACGACTTGAAAATTTCATCGAGGTTCTCGATATACAGCGAGAAATAAGGCAGGAGACAAACAAATTTTTATAACTTGTATATCTCTTGGACAGCACTTTTTTAAATAGGCGATAATTATAAGTTTCCAAACAATTTTCCTAAATTTTTAATATAGATTAAAATGTAATAAGAAATTTTATTTTATAAATGATATTCAAATTATTTTGTTAATTTTCGAGATTTTACCGTACACTGTTAAATATTAAAGAGCGAAATTTAAACCAATACCTTGAGATAAATAACATTTTGTTATTTTTAGCTATCATGTGTGTCAAAATTTATTATTTTAACACAAACAATATTATTCTAACTCCATTGGTTTATTTAAATTAACATTGTTTTAATTAAATTAACAACATATTGAGCAGGAACAGTGGCGGCCTATAGGAATAGTTAAAAATGACTAAAATTGAGTATAATTTGATACTATGATTTTAACAGTGTATAACGATAATAACGAGGGCACGCGTGCGGTTCTCCGGTTCCGGGTTAAATCCTTGAAACCTGGTTACCTAGTTCGGCCTTGACCAAGGGCGACAGCTTCTTCGGGGGTTGGCGGGCGAGCGGCGGTGGCGATGGCGAGCAGGGTGGCGTCGGCAGGCCAGACGCGCTGGTGATATCAAGCGACTGCAACCAGGAGAGGCTCGTTAACTCGGCCTCGACTCCGTCGTAGTCGTCTGTGCTGTCCATGCTGCCGATGTCCGCCGCGGCGGCGACGGCGATGGCGGCAGGCGGGCTGTCCTCCGTCGATACTTCAACTTCCGCTAGGTCGATCCTCATTTTTGCCGTCTCTCATCACCCAGCCTCCAGCGTGCCAGCGCGAGAAGCGCCTAAAAATCAACGGTTCCCCGTTTCCGCGTTAATTTCTGCCCGGAAGGAACGTTTCTTCGCGTTTTCAGAGGTATCGTCGATCGAATTGTTCGAGTTGGGCTTCGTAAATAGGTGACGAGGGCGCGAATAATTTTGTTCGGAAGGCAATTCGATGTGATGGCACTACTTTTCTGTCCACTCGCAAGCTCGCGATACAAGGGGGTGGTTCGACGTTGAATTCCGATTGTTCTGGTTTCCGGAACCGCTCACGCGGTACCTGGAAACTCCATGATTCACCAGCTCGTGGAAATGTCTCCTGACGTCATAGAGACGACGACCGTGTTCGGCGTAAAAACTCTCTCTTTCACCTTTCTTCTTTCATTTCATCTCACGCGCTGGTATTACACGCGTGTGAATAGCGTCCTGCGAACCGATTTTCACGCAAACCAGGACCGAGAACCCGAAGCGCTCTTCGGGAGGCAAACGGCGTCAGATAATGCGTCACCCGTTGACGCTCGGTCGCGGAAGGGCGCAACATCGATCACAATCCCGCGAGGGTTGGAGAGTTCGGATCGGGAGAAGAGAGAGAAAGATCACCAAAAATCGTGGTACCACACTCGAAATTGAAATTATTATTCGCACTTGTTTCCTGGCCGGATAGCGACCCAGGTATACGGCACGTATGTGCGAAATGAACGATTAACGACGACTGACTGCGAGAGAGTGGCGCGCACACGGTACGGTCGGGCGAGTTGGACTGGTGGTAGCAAAGGGGTGGAACGCGCTAGCTGGCTGGCTGGCTGGCTGGCTAGTGCCTACCTGCGATCTGACGGAGGCACCTTAGTGCGCGCGTGTGGTGACAGGTGTGCTAGGTTCCCTCTCGCACAGGTGGACCATGCACACGCGTCGGCCAGACCCGCCGACGACCCTCTTTCCTTTTCGTCGACCCTCCCCTAACTAAAAGCAACGGGGGAAGCTCACCCTCCTGATGCCGATCATGCGGCGTGTATATATATACGAACACGGGCGGCGACGGACGCCGAAATATTTCAGGTCGCAGATGACGTATGTCGATAAAACGATTATATTAATTGAATTAAGAGATACGTCGCTTTTGCGTAACACCACGTTTTAGCGCCTTGAGTCCTTCTTGTAAATATATGAATACCTACACAGATCCAATTGTTCCGAATATCGAAGCCGGAATCTTTTAAAAAATTTTGTATGTCTTGAAATTCTTGAAAGTCTTGAACGTCTAGAAAATTTCCGTATTAAAATCTGAAGTGTTTATGAATTTTTGTTAGCGAGTAAAATAGAGAATAAATTGAAGTAATAACGGTGTTGTAAGGAAAAAAAAATATTTTTTTCTTTCTTAAAACATTCAAAGCTTCCAACACATTCAAGACTTTTAAAATAAGTAAACTTTTCAAGACGTTTCGAATGACATTAGAAAAATCCAAAATTCTTATCACATTTTCAAAATAACTCAACGAGTCTTGAATCCATCATTAATTTTAAGTTATCGCAAACTAATCATTTGATAAAAAAATATTCGGTTCTTTTGAAGGAACACGATTGAAATGGATAAATGTTGATACATATATTGTAGTCGCACTTACAGATATCGTTCGGTCTCGATCTAATTACGCAAATACATGTTAAACAGTTTTTTATATTAACACAGAGACACTTATCAAGTTATTTTAGCAGAAGGCTAAAGCTCTCTGTATATAATCGCTGCTATTTATATTCATATCTAAGCGTTCGAACGCGATAAAATTTACATAATTTTCCTGGCTTTCCACGAATGGTAATAATTGATTTCAGATTTTCCGAATGTATACCATCTATGCGGGAACATTTCTGTCCTCCGAGAACGAACGGACGGAGGCGGTGGCGGTATACGCGTATTTTCGTCCTGTCTGCGCCGTAAGCGGGGGTGGACGCAGTTCGCCCACTTGCCTTGGTACAGGCGGCCTCCATTGATCGAATCGGGGGAGGCAGCGACCGCCAGTTACGATAAAGCCGGCGTGAGAGAGGGGTAGGAGCCACGGCCATTCGACCGAGACGAGAGAATGGCGCGCAAGATTCACCCCGGACCCTCATCATCATTGGTCGGCGTCCATGCGGGATCGTTAGTACGAGATTTGTCAGTCCTACTGAATCAACACAGACGCAGGACACGTACACGTTGACGCTTTTGGGCGTTCTACGGAGGATGGGCCCTCCTTCCGGGAGCGGTAGGGAAAATATATATCATCCACGGAAAAGTACATCGTTGCAATAAAACGTTGAATTTTAGGTGGACGCTTCCGACTTCGAAATGTGCGCAACGAATTTTTGCTGCCAACAGTAGCCCTTAAATGCAAACATAATTTTCTTATCAACACACATTTCTTTCGTAATGAGGATAATAGTGGATTCTCGTCAAGCGTCTCGCGAAGAGTTCGCTATCAAACTCACGAAGTTTCTGAAGAGATATATCTCGAAATGTGTTCGTTAGTTACGCGAATTAGGGGATAATTTACTTCAGATTAATGCTATAAAGTTTTAGACAAAACAGCAGGAAAAGCGAGGTTTTAGTAATTAATTAAGTAATTAATTTTGTTATAGTTATATAAGAATCCTATTTGCCTGTGCAATAAAATTTGGCAACCAAGAGAGAAGCAAAATATTATCGTTACATGTTTTACGATGTAACTCATCAACATTTTCTTACGTTGTTAAATCTTCTAGAGAAAATAATTTGCTACACCTTGGTCCAATATCATTTCAGACTCGATACATATAAAACATACATAATTTTTTAAAGAATTATTTAAAATTGAATTATAATCGCATGCAGCATTTATTGAGAGGCGCTGTGTCTTTTTCGGTGTACATGTAATTCAACCTCTTATTTTACATACCGCCAGCTCTTTAGCGACAGAATTTTATATATTGTCCTTTGCATTCTGTACCTTAGAGCCCTTAGAGGTAAAGAATCGTATCTCCATTATTGTAAGTGTAGAGAAAACAGGGAATAAAGTAAAAATAAAGTAATTTAACTGACATATTTAATAGTACAACCATCAATAATACAACTGAACTATAATATAGACTAGACTAGACTAGAATAATATAGACATAAGGCTCTTTATCAAAGCTCGTGGTATATTAAAAAAAACTATTAACTCCATTTTGACAAAAACTGGAGATACAATTCTTTTATCTCTAAGGTACAGATATATATTCGCGATTTAACGTAAAACCAAACTTTTGTCATTTCGGTCGAAAACGAAAGAGTCCGAACCCGAGGAGAGAATCTTCGCGCAGGGACAGAACCTTGCCGGAAGAGCAAGGAGGATCCGAGAAGAAATTCGGACGGACGCCATCGCCGAGGACCTGCCCCATCATCGGCTACATCGTCGTCAGTGGAAATATCTGCGCGGCCGATCAATAATCTCCTGGGAACATCCGCGCGGGGGACGCGAGGGAACGTCCCCCTGTCTGCCATGCCGTGGGTTACTCGGCTGGCCGACCCCGCCGGCCACCACGTTGAAGGCAGAAGGTGGTGGTAGCGGAGCAGCAGCACCCAGCCCAGTATCAGCAACCGGCGCGGCGGCGGCAGCGTGCACCTGCCGCGTTCTCCCAGCGCGGCACGCGGCAGGTCGTGTGAGTCACTACCACCACGTTTCGTTTACGCTTTACGTTTGCGTCGCTACACGCTTTCGCGCAAAGCGACGTATTACGTGCGACAACGTAACATTATGCGCCGCGTAATGTAAAAAGACGTAATGGGACCGGTATAGCGTTATACTATATCCGCGTTCCGAATCGATTCGCAATGTCGCAAGACGATCTATTTCCGCTGACGTTCACCGCGCTTCGATTACGTCGAATATAACGCGATTATAACTATTGTAAGTCGATCATGAATTTCAAGGGGGATGGGAAAATAAAGGGTGGCGGGCGATGAAGCGGCGCTTGCTCTCGCTGCATTCCGTCGACTTTTTGCAACGATTCCTACGAGATTTTTTCCGCTCCTTGGAAATCAAAGTCGAATATACACTTTTTTGCCGAATCAAAATGCGATACGCGCCGCAGGGGATGCGAACGGATGGGGTCACGCGACAGGGGTCTCCCTGGGAAAACGCGGTGTCGGTCGCGCGTCCTCCCGAGAATGTGACGGGTCATCGCGAATAGGAATGATGTGGTCGCATTTCAGTGGGCGATTTAAAAGACCGGACGGTCTATCGCGCGGTCGAAGGGGGAGGGGGAGGGCTTACGGATATAGACTCTCCGACGCGGACGCGCGCCCGGAGTTCCGGGAGGGCGGAGCGGCTCGCGCATCAAATATTCAAGAGAATTGATTCCGGGGGCAGCGCGGAGCTGCAGCAGCAGCAGCAGCAGGCATAATCTACGACTATTCGCGGCGATAATCGTCGCCAATGTATGTCCGCGGAGCCGTGAAACCCTTACGGTCAATCGTCTCTCTTTCTCGACGTCAAGGACGCACGAAGAAGAAATTGTCCTATTGCTCTGTCGGGAGATATATTCCCAATATTATTTTTTAACAATCTTTTTCGAAACACTCTCCCTGTTTCCAATCGTCTCTCTCACTCTCAAGAATGTATCTGTACCTTAGATGTATTACCTTAGATGTACCTGTAGGTAAAAAATTGTAGGTTTTATTAAAATGTTTTATTAAAATAGAATATACCAGATTAATATACAATATACCGTTTTCAATATACCAGGAACTTAAATTGTTTAATAGTAAAAGATCTTACGTCTGTTATTACTAGTTCCTAAAATACAATGTTTGGAAGTAGTCATATTGAAAATTTTCAGTGTCTTAATTTTAGTCAGATATACAGCATGTTATTGACAGTTGTACTATTAAACATATACAGTTAAATTACTTTAAATTTTGTTTTCTCTGAATTCACATAATAATGGAGATACGATATATTCTTTATTTCTAAGGTACAGATATGAAGAAAAATACCGAGCAACGGTTGCCGTCGTCTAAAAAATTATCCCGTTGCCATCGAGAGATATATTCCCAATATCTCAATTCTTAATAATCCTCTCGAAACGACATTTTTGTTTTTAGACGATTTCTCTCGATTTTCTCGCTAAATTTCGGAATTTGTTCAACAAAACAACCAATCGTTAGAAAATCGCTGTGGCGCATTTCTTTTGTCACGTAATTTTTTATCGTGCTGGTTTTCACGGCAGTTCCACGTCTTTTTGACAGTCCATCAAGGGAACATAAAATTATTTACTCACCTTGATTCGAATTAGCGCAAGCTACTGCTTCTTTCGAATTATAGGCTTCGCCGACCGACGGGGACGGAGAATTGTCAAACGGCGGACGGTCCTCGCATCACACTTTGGAAATATCGTCCGTGGATTATTTCAGTTTGTTTCAGTTCGAAATTGATGAATATTTGATCAATCCTCGCGATGTTTTACATACGTTATAAATTACAATGCAACACTACCTGTCAATGTCACGCGCGACACTAAGTTATCAGGATATTAACTGAATATTCTTGTTCGATTGATCACAATTCTGCGTCGACGACTCGGCGATTTCGTTCGTCACCTCTTCGCAAAAATCCGAGATCGTTTCAGCGAATTTGCCGCGGTGGTTCTGTCCGAACTAACGACCGGTCACTGGAAGCGCACTAGCACCGTCAACCACCATAGCGCCATTCTACCGCCATCTTCTTACCTGTGCAAACGGTACCACTACGACAGGTACGGCAGGTGCGCGTACACGATCGTCCAGGGTTATCGATCACAGTCATTATCTCGCTCCGGCGAAGTTTGCTCTCGCGCGGGAAACGCGACGAGACAGTTCGACCCAGGACGAACCTAAATACAACTATCTGCGAGGGTTGTGACACATAATTACCCCTATTTTGTCGAGAGAACATCTCTTCTTTCGCGAGAGGTAGATTTGTGGATTCGCGGCACCAAATTGCGACCCTTCCTTTCCTTTTTTTTTTTTTAATCGTTTCGAGTTAATATTTTGAAGAACGATTTGATCGGATAGGATCGAAGGAGAAAAGTGTGATAATCGGCAGTCCCCTACCGCATTCGCAACGGCGAAATTACACCTGGACCCGCAGCTTTTCGAACCTGCCGGTAGACGAATGCCGGTGACGAGCCGCCACGTGGAAGATAAGAGGGACTCGCCGGTTGGAGTCACAAGGAATTAGCAAAGCGTAAACTTGGCGCACGCCAAGCCGGGGAAACTCGGGAGAGGAGAGATACGAGAGAAAGAGAGAGAGAGAGAGAAAGAGACAGAAAAGAGCTGCGAGTGTCGATGATTTATTTCCATTACATTACAGCACTCCTAACATTTGATACTCGTATTTAAATCTGTCCTAAGAAAATCCTCAAAAAACAGCCAATGCGGGTGTATCCTCGATTTACCATCTTGGCGACTAGTCCGCCGAGCACTCTTATAACGCTCCTTACAAAAGATCGTGGAAATCAGGACTTTAGGCAAGATATAATTATGCGTATATACAGGATGAACTGTAACTCGTGAGGCAAAGACGAAAAGACCGATTGTCTGTGTAGAAACTAATCGGATAAGACGTTTAAACGCCTTCTTTTCTTTATGAAGCGTCATTTTCAATAAGAAATCAGATTTGTAAAGTTGTACGCGCACTATTTATCTTGATGATAACTGACAGTTAGGAAATTGTTCTTTGTAACATCTATTGCCACATCGCAAGTTCTCGATATTCTATTACTTGTATCATACTGTAACTCGCGATAAGATAACTTGAGGAAATTTTAGTAGAATCGCTTTAGAAAGTAAATCGTTATGAACATTTGCCGATACAAATAGAAATAACAATAGGCAGATATTTGATAAATTTTTAAATCTGATTTTCTGAAAAAAATTGCTTCATGTACGAAAATGTCATATTTATTTTTTTCGACTTATCTCTACATGAATCGCTTCTTTTCGTATGTACCACGAATTGCGGTCCGCTGTACAGGTACAGGTACAGGTATATATACACATATATCCGCATACATATGTGCATACGTACGTGCATACGCATACGTATGATCCGCTGGAAATTCACTTGGATAAGTCGCGCTATCGCGAGAGTTACATGAACTGAGGGAAATGCTGTCGGGGCGCGACGTGGATCTAGGAATTATATTGAATGAGCGAGAAAAAGACGAGAAAGGAGGATGACGGAACAAGAGGAGGAGAAAAGGACGTACGCGATCACCACTCGATACTTAACAAATGCCAGCTCGCCGACGTACATCTCGATACTCGTTCTATCGTGTATACAGTGATTCCACGACCACGAGAATACAAATTCTAAGTGAGACGACGACGCACGTCGACAAAAACAATCGGTCGGTTTCGCTATCTACGTTAGATCGTTGGGAGTGCGACAATACCGTTCGTACACGGTATTCGGAGGGTGAAAGTCTGAAGAGAACTGCAAAAACCGAGGTACTGACGTGTGACATGCCCTGCTGTCGCCCCGCCGCTTTAATTACCGACTCTTATGGTTGATTGGTAGTGAACGGTGTCACTCCGTTATTAGCCATATTGTCCAGAACACCGCTGATGTACGCCGCGACGTCAATCGTCGCTTCCTCAGCTTGCCTGATGAACGGATGCTCCAGCAGTTTATTGTACTTCGGTCGCTGCGTCTCCTCCTTAATTAAACTTAACAGACAATACAAAACAATTTTAATTCCGAAAGGAATCGTCTCGATTGTCTCGGTGGATAGGAAGATACAAAGTTACTCTACCATGTATTCACAAAGTTCACAAAGTCCATAGTGAAGTGATTGCCGTTCTCATTGGGGGAAAGCCGCGGCGGATCACCTTGCACTACTTGATAAAGTTGTTCGAAGACAGAGTTCCACTTTGGGTACGGAAAGTATCCTGTAGCAACCTCCATCATCGTAATACCTAATGACCACACGTCGCTCCGCACGTCGTAACCACGTGCGCGTTGCGGGTCTATCCTTTCCGGCTAAATAAATACAATGATATTTATGAAGCACGGACGAATATCTATCTCGCTTCAGAGTTATTTAATTTCACCCGCTGTAAAACTTACAGCCATGTACGGTCTACAACCAGCATCCCGAGTCCTCGCGATCGAGTCTACAAGCTGGCCAGATATACCGAAGTCGCACAATTTTATATTACCTCGACGATCCAATAAAATATTACTAGGTTTCACATCTCTGTGAATTATTCTCAGCTTCTCCTTGAGGTAATTCAGCGCCTTCACAGTTGCCACTGTGATTTTGCCTAGAATACATTCCGGTATCCTCTCGTTTAATCTCTCATAGATGAACTTGTAAAACTTATCTAACGATGTGTCCATAAGTTCCATGCAAATCCAACAATCCCCCTGTACGTGAAAAGAAAAAATAACTCCAATTGTCTTTTGCGTCATTGATACCAACGATATCGTCGAGTTACACACATACCTCTTTAAACAAAGCCCCATAAAATTGCACAATACACGGGCACTCGTTTGACTTCATCACAACTTCTAAATCCATTAACAGTTGCTTTTGTTCTCTTTCGTCCACGGTAGAGCGAATTCTCTGAAGTACAAGTAATATAATTAATATAATTAATTAAAATATAAATTCAAATAACTTTTATACAAGTTCTACCAACTAGTTTGAATAGAATTGGGTGAGATGTGCGAAAGAGAGAATCAAATCGCCGCCTACCTTCACAGCCATAACGGTATTGCTTATCCTATGAATCATCTTATTTACAGTTCCAAATCCTCCCCTTCCTATCTCCCCGAGATCCTGCAGATCCTCGCTTGTGAAATCATACACTACGTCTGTAGATAACTGCAATTTACCAGTAGACTGCATAGACTGGCACATTCGTAGTTTGTCTCTACAAACAAGCTCCATTGTAATTTATCTCAAAAGATAAATGTCTCCTTTCTGTTTTTAATTCCATACCTTGCCTTATCAGGAAGAAATTCTTGCTGCTGTAACGTATTGCGAGGTCTGGCTGGCAGCTTAGGTAGAGATAAAGGCAGACTTGGGCGGGAGGATCTGTTACATCACGAACGGAAAAGTCAGTCTTGTTATGCGGAAGTGACAAACATGAAATTACTTTGCTTGCTAAAAATCTCACATTGGTGGACACGCCGTGGCTCCTGTCGAATTTGACAATGAGGAATTTGTGGAATTGGCAAACGACAAATTATTGCCCTGCGTTTGGAAACTAAGCTTCAGCTGTCTTCGCCTCTCTGTAACAGAAGGAAGAAGTAGAAAGAATATAATGAGGAAAATTGTCCTAACAGCTCAAAGATCTCTCTCTCTCTCTCTCTCTCTTTCTCGTTTTCGGAGATCGCGCAACTTCCAACGTACCCGACATCTCGTTCTGAACGTCATTGTTTGTTCGAAAGTCCATTCGTGGAAAGCTGAAGGATCTGCCGGAACCTGCAACGTCGAGGATTCGATTAGAAGGTAAACGAAGGACAACCCTGGTTGTAATAAGCTGGTCCTCGCGAGATTCGCCGCAATCGCACATCGCACCGCGGTCGATCAGGTTAGGTTTTCCATGATCGCTCGGCGAACGGCATCGCGTGCGCGCGGTCGACGGCAACGTACCCTGGCCGGTCTGACCGGACGAGTTGCCCTGATTCTCCGCCATTCCGGGCCGCAGGCGCAGGCAGGGATCGCCCACGAGGCTCGCGTCTCGCGACCGCACGGTAAACCGTCAAAGGCGCTCCTCTTAGGAGACCTTCTCGCAGGATCTCAACAGTCTGGCATATGCGTTGCGCGGCAGTCGCACCATTTGTAGTATTTGTACGGTCTCGCGCGATCCCGTCTCCCTTCACCGCGTTGGCGTTCCGTGGCCCGATAACGTTCGCCCGCCGAGTGGAATTCGTTGATCCTCGCGCGACGATCTCGCCACTCGCCGTAAACCGTAAACCCGTCACGAGCACTCGGCCCTCGGCCGCTCCGCAGCAAACACACTCACACACACGGTATATACACAGCTACACCGATGCACTCAATTACACGAATATATAACGAGAATACAGAATACACCAGTCCACGGCCACGGGAATCGCGTAGTACACAGAAGGTTAACGACCAGTTTTTCTCACATACGTCAATTTGACGTGCGCGCCAGTTACCAAGTTAGGGATTTCTCGAATTTGGGGAAGATTTTGTTCTCATCGAGAATCTTTTGGAAGAATATATGAAATTTAGTGGAATTTTATGATTACATCTTTGAAGAATTGTTAAAAAATTAATTGCATAAAAGCGAATGAAAAATAACTTTAATTCTATTCTAATTTATTTGCATTGGCGATTAAAGATTATGCCAGAGAGAAGCCTGAGAGAGGCCACGGGCGCGATTTTGCTGTAACTTTATTTTGAAGCGCCTCTATGTCCACAAAATGTGGA